TGCTCCGTACACGACTTTTTAAAAAAAAAAGTACATCAGCACAATGGTTTCCATGTGGATGGTTATTCATATTCTATTTTGTCAATAGATTTAATTGATTTGGCACAGATTGGATAAGTCTAGAAAAAACTGGTTTACACGTACAAAACCCATTTATTCAAGTAACACACCAACCAACTATGTGGACTAGTAGTGGGTATTGTTAAGTTTGTATTGATAGCGTGTGTTGGGGTGACCAGGTCAAGTTCTATTTACTGCACTAAAATTGTACTCTAAGCCCACCCGATCCCACCCCTTCCTTCTACTAGTGCTTCCTCTTATCCCCACCATTCCACAGGTAACAGTATTGACCATGGTGTGGTTATATTCAACGAAACGTGGAAGTATCTTGCAGCAAGTCGGAAAAAGTCAGTGTTAAATGGACTTTAAGACAACAAAATGATGCGGAAGTTTAACGTTAAATGAGTTTATTGACCACAAAAACCATAATATCATTGTCTGTTTATTTTATTAAACTGATTGTCTGATTATTCCCTTGCATTTCACTCATATATTTAAAGGTTTTCAAAAGAAAAAGGTAACTCTTGATTTACGTTTAGAGTACGAGTACCCTTGTTCAGTGTAAAACATTCTATTCAATTTGAAATCTATTGAAATTGTCGCTCGAATAGAAATACCACTGAGTGCCTATAGGTCACGATTTAAAACTACACGTGTTTTTTTTTATGTGGTGGAAAATTTCCATTTGCAGCCATGTCGGAAAATATCAGATAAGTTCTTCTGGGATAACAGGAATCAAAGACTTTGGATGGAAATAATAATAGTTCAGAAAGCGGTGTTCTCAATACACTTACAATGGCTAGAAGATCTCTTTTAAATTCCTTTAAACATAAAGAGTGCCCTTGACAAGAGGGTCAGATTTTGATTTGGATAAATAATAGTTTTCTTTAGGAGAGTAGAAATATTGAGACTGGACACGGAACGCTCTGGTACACAGTGCTATAACTAAATATATACAAATTGGGCGAATACCTAATACCGAATTCGACAATAAATAAATAGATATGAGTAAAAAAAAATGTTTTGTTTAAAAAATGTTTAGGTACGCTAAATATATCACTTATTTGAATCAAGGATTAAGTATCATTAAGGTCAGAGCTTCTGGTGTTCTTGAGCGCCTTCCAGGCTCCTCGCTTGAAAAACCATATTTACAACATTGAAATGTGAAATATAAACTGTTATAATATAGTGATATATATTGCTTGAAATAGAGTAGAAATATTCTATTAAATATAATAGTAATATGAGACACCTGTCAGTTGGTATTTCGTATCTAATCGATATAACATAATTTGGCGTACAAATTGGGCATGTTCATAACACGTTTCGGTTCATTGGTGCTTGTATCTTTTTTTTTGTATAGAAATACCAATACCAATAGAGCGATGAATTAAGTGTATAACCCGAGTTCCAGTATATACTTGTTTTATATAACTGAATTCTAGGGCATTCCAGGATAAAAAGGCAACTGTATCAAGCCACCCCAAACCCCTGCATCCTACAGCCCAATTTCCCCAGGGTGTCTCCTTTGAAAACTTGAATTCTTAGGATTTGGAAATGAGCATGACGACTTCCCACCCCCTTGCATTCCCTACAGCTATATATTTTATAAATATCGAATACCTGATAATTGGGTCATATCAGTTTGTAATTATTGTCCTGTATAAAGCTATGTAATATGATAATCAATGTTTTCTATCAATATATTAAAACATGTATAAACACCACCATATCAAGGTATAGAATATCATGTTGATTAATAAAGATTTTCAGATTTTAAAATTTTTAACATTCTTCGCTGTGACTATGGCTGAAACCAGAAAATAGATGTTTTCGATACTGTAGCGTTTGGAATGAAACATTATCTGGGGAAGGGGGATTGGGGTTTAAACGAGTAGGGTCAGAGAATATTCAAGAAGGCAGAGATTTAAAAGGATGGGAGTTTGAGGGTCAAAGCATCATTCATATATAAATCAAGTACTAACACCCGAACCGAAAAACGAAACCCGAAATCCAAAGAAGATTTTGTCGAAACATTGGTAGCAGCTAACAAACTTTTCACACGAGGAAGTGTATCAATCATAAGTGATTAGGTATTTCGTAATGAAAAGTGGTATCAGGTGTCCTGAAGAGTGAGCACACACACCCTGCCTGGCGCCACTAAAAACGCTTTTGCTCCCGACAATCTCAATATGTGAAACAGTCATTATAATGTAACATGAAGTCAGTTATAATTATAACTTTAAACCAAATAAACAGTTTATAATATGATATCGTATCATAACTTGTGACAATTGAATTAATGAATTATTAAACAGAGTAATTAATTGAAATATTAATCAAGATATCGTGATATACCCTGGTTTGATGTCTGATATATATTTAATTAGAATCTGTGTTAATCAGGTATTGTGTCTTATAACATTCTGTATGATTTAATAGTGTTTCATTTCTACTTAACGACAATATATATACCACAGTTCCATTGTTCATCCACTATCATTTTCACGGATTTCGTCTGATACCTTGACATCATGGCCACCTTTTCTTGTATCTCTGAATTTTGTAAATGTATCTTTTCAAATTCTAAACGTCTAATACCTTGACATCATAAAGTCATAGACTCAGAAAAAGTTTTGCACGATTGCAAAGAAAGGTTAAAAGAATGAATTGTTTTTGAACAAAATGTTGTTTTGGGAGTTTTACTACATCCAATACAGAAGAAATCATGTGTCATTGAAGATTGTGATTTGATTGAGTTGTATGCAGGATACAGCCCTGGATTAGATCTAATGGACCTAATTCTGACTCACGTATAAAACAAAGTCATAAATGTATTTAAATTATTTTGAAACTAAATGTTTTATGACGTGACAACAGGTGCTGTTATTAAATTATTAGCCAAATTGACTTCATTTCAGCAAATTTCTGTTAGGCAATTCTACAATTACATGAGCCACATCAATTCATAGTAACAAACATACTAAAACAAGTCTGTTCCTAAAAAGCTGATATTGTCAGTCCATGTAGTATGTTAATTTTTATAAATTCTGTTTTTTTTTTATTTCTCAAGCGTGTCCACATGTATAGATCAACACTTATGATTGTTTTGTCTTTCTTTAAAAAGTATTTTTTTTATGTTGTCTAACCAGTTTTTTTCCTCTTTCACCATTCATTACCTTAAGAATTCAACGGTCTAAGATAATTTTTGTTTAACTTTTCGTGTGTGCTATTTCACCGTAATACATGTATTGAATAGACTGAATATTTTTACCCTTCTGTATTGTTTAATGAGGTTTAGAAACGCAGTATTTTCATGGAAAGTTTTTGACACACAGGAAAAAGTCGACAAAGCCTTACTTCATTGTTAATATCCTTGCAATTTTCCTATATATTTTTTATTCGGTCTATTCTGGACATAATGGAATTTTCCCCGTCGTTCGGGTATTGCGATGAAGCAATTTGAATCATTTTATAGACTATGCTTACTCTTTTTGAAACACCTGTTCGTACCCCTCTTTTGAGGAGTCCACTACTGTACTTCCTTTACTCCCGATTTTACTATTCTTTTGACGAGATTTTGATGAACGGGATTGTCTTGCTTGTACAGATCACTTCACGCCTGAAATATCGATTCAGTATAATGACTGCTCTATGGCGTTTACAGTAACAAATACTAACAATAACATCTTGCACCGACTAGTCGCCTCATCCCCCTCGCCCCATTCCCCCCCCCCCCCCTTAAATTTTTAGTCAAAAATACTAATGATTTAAACGAAATATAATAGGTAAAGAAATTTATAGAAATAGATAGATATTGGTTAAGCATTATTTTTAAATACTATTATAACACTATTATAGATATACTACTCCTTCCTTTAATCTTAACAAAGTTTCAATTCACATACAGGAATCTTTATCAAGAATACATAATATAAATACTATTATTATTATTCAGATATATTTAACGACTGTCGCTATATGTCGACCAGCTGGTTAGAAACAACTCTCCTACCAATGTCATATTATATATATATATATATATATATATATATATATATATATATATATATATATATAAAACATGATTATAATACATACATATAGTTATTGTTTATTTACATTTAGAAATATCAAAACAATGCTACAAGTCTGAGGTTTTCCTCCCTTTACAATTAACACACTGTCCTACCCAGTCGAGTTTTTACTGGTTGTGAGGAAGTTTTATTCAAGTAACAAGTAAAGAATGATATCATGTATTAAAGGGACACGTTCACCATCCGTTTGACCAATCATACCTACGTCTAAGAAACGGGATTTGTTACTTAAGCTAATCGGTAAATATGTTCACATCTCACCGATGAAATCCAATGTGTGTCCAGAATTATCCGCGTTTGAAAGCTAAAATGACGCTATAATATAGAAAAGACATAATTATATAGAAATTTAAAGTTGAAATGAAATAGAAAGTTAAATGTCTGTTTCTAGGTATATTTGAAGGAAATATTTTCTAGTTCTAATACTTCCGACGAAATTTTTTTACATCTATTCAAGACCCAAATCAACCCCCGAAAATGCCAAGTGTTCCCCTTTAAACCAGTTATAACCTAAAGACGAGTATTAAACTATGGTTTTTATTTTGTAATAAAAAACTATTTATTCATCATAATGCAATTGTGACATAACATAACACCTATTTTAAAAGCTTTTCATTTATATTTCTTTTACGTCAAATGTACTTTGTTCTGTAGAAAAATGTCTTGAGAGAAGAATTGGGAGGGGAATTTTGGGAAGACATTTCAAATGCATAAATAAAGAACTTATTTACGGATCCTAGGTGTGAAAACCTATTTTTGTGCTGATGTTATATCTCGAAAAAATTATCCTCGAAAATTTATTTTGACCGTTTTCCAACAGCATACAGCATCTAAGATGACAATATGGTATGGTGGCCTGTTAGGTGTCATTCACGATTTGGTATGTCAATAAATCATACTACAAATCAATAAGATTGATAGTTATTCAAATAGGAAAAAGAAATAAGATATCCATGCCTCGGTCGATGCTTACTCGGATAATAAATTAATTGGCCGATACCTATACAGTCAATACTACTATATGTGAATATATTACAGTGAAAACTAGGAAATGATGTAATGCAATGTATATAATCTAAACAATAATATCGATACCAAAGGTTTTGATAAATTTTGCCTTTGTCACGGTGAAAATTCTGTAAAACTAGCGAACCAAAAATCAAAGGAACTCCCATTAAATGTGACCTTTTGTGTCTGGCCCTTACAGTGACGATATTACGTCCATATATCATGTTCGAGGAACGGGTAGGGCCAGATTTGATTGCATTACTATTTATACGCCTACATAGAAATGTGGCATTTATTCCGTACGTCGGTCGATCTGTCGGTCGATTGTTCGGTCGGTCAGTCGGTTTTTAAGAAAGGTTGACAGCTCGTGTTAGTGTTCTAAAAGAGGCCTGAATGTTCACATAAATATCTTTGCTCGATTAAATATAGAAGCAGGAAGTACTATAAAGATAACATGTCTTACACGTGTTTCTACCAGGATTTACACCTGTCATACGAAAAAAAAATCAAATAAAGTTGTTTGCGTGCGCATGATGAATGAAGGATGCCAACGCTATGCAGTTTTTCAATTTCCATTTTTTATCGATCTTTAAAGAGTACAACAGGTGTGAAGGTTCGTGTGTTTTTGAAATTCCGCCCTTTTCGGCTTATGGTATTAGAATCTTCAATCTAAATTTCATCTTTTCAAGGACGAAAGGACTTTCCGTCTACTTTCCAATTTTGGTTATCTTTCTTTTTGATCTTCGTGTTCCTTGAATTACGTTTGGGAGTGTGGTGTTAAAAAAAGTGAAATGGAAGATTTAAATAGCTACATGTAATCAATATGCAATACCTTTTCCTTTCGGGTGAAAATGTTGATAGGTTTGAATAAAAAGTGTTGTCTCATTGGGAAGGTGCAGGAGTCAAGCCAAAACAAACATTGCATAATAACACACACTGCACCTTGTATGTTATATCCTGATAGGAGCTTTTATGAATTATAGTGTGTATCTATATTTATAACTTCAGATATTAATAGTGTTTCACTCTTTATGTAAATTTGATATGGGATTGTAAATTTTGATAGCTTTCGAACTTTAAATCTGGCCAAACAGATTTTTAAGGTATACAGGGACAGATTTGAATATGTAAATAGTCTTCACTACTACCAAAATTGTACGAAAATTGCATAATTCCTTCAAATAGACATCAAACAAGAATTTTAACTTTTATTTATTCCGAAAGTTGAACGTCTTGTTGATATAGTCTCTGACACCAAGACAGCTGTGCGTACACGAAGTGGGACAGGATGATTGAGTCTACTGTATACACATGACGTCATCAACCCATCAACCAATATTCAAAATTAAAAGTCCTTTAAAATGTTGAGGTTAAAATAACTTTCAAGTAGGCCTATAGATAATTATGAACTTGAAGGCTCAAGGCTTAAAGGCTTCCTTTAAGGTTAAATCAAAATGACTAAAAAGCTTTTCCCCGAAACTTGCGTATCCTGTATTAGCTGATAAGATAGGGAAGCAGTAAGGGAGATCTATCAGCTGATAAACCAAATAATCAGATGATAGTATAGGTTACAAGGACAGGTGACCAATCTTACCTTAGTCTCAGAAACAGGATTCTTTTAGCTAAGCTAATCAATTATAGAGTTCACATCTCACCATCAAAATTTGAGCCTTCAATTCCATTTCCATATCTGCGTTTGAATGTAAAAATAACGACTCGTCTTTTCTTGGGAGTCCGCCTTGTTTAGAAAAGACATAATATATAGAAATAGAAAGTGAAATTTCTAGTTTGATGTATATTTGAAGGGATTACACAATTTCGTGCAGTTCTAGTACACGTATATACTACTGAAGACTATTTACATATATTCAAGACTCAAATCAACCCTAAAATAGCCTTTAACGAGCTTTGTACAATAATGAATATTTAGATGACAAGAAATACTTTTCTTTCGAAGGATGTAAAACTCTGTGATATAGCTATACCATTATATTATTGTATGCCTTTGATTATATAAGTTAATAGAACCACATTCAGTAATCTTACTGTAAGCTTGTATCAATATTTGTATAAAAACGATAATCAAATTTGAGATAAAAAGTATTGTCATATACACGAGGAAGTAAAACAATTTAAAAAATCCCAACTGAAATTTTCATTGAAAACGACACGTGAATCCTGTTAGTTATATCCGCTTAACATAGGAACTTAAAACTATGATACGCTTACATATAGGAATATTTAGAATCCGTTTACTTGTTCCACTCCATTCTTGTGCCTTTTAATGTCTATGTGAACCGTTTATGTTCCATCAATCCTATTTGCCTTCCAAAGACTGCACTTCCTGAAGTTACAGACAAAAACTTGAACATAATAAGATGCCATTATCGTAAGACCATTTGACATTAGCAAGAGTCTTGGTAAATTGGTAAAGATGTAATAGAATTACAGGAACCAAAGAAGTTCTGCAAATCTCAATGAAACAAGTAAAAGATATAAGTTTCACCGAGACAGAAATATACAAATATTTTTACAAGGATAGCAACTTAGGTTCACAAATGAAACTTTCTATCAGCTTGTCCTTAGCCAAATCCGATCTTGAACATTTCCGGAGTATCTGTACCTATTTACAGGTGAGCTATTTTCCATCAGCTTCGTACATGCATATATTTTGTATGAGGAGTTTTGGGTCGGTTTCAAATCTTGTTTGTTTATTTTGAGTGATAATATATTTTGTACCTTAAAGGTGTTTTCGTCTTGACCTGAATAACGGCCTGTTTGTATTACTAGACTTTGTATTGTGGCCCGAGGCTAGAAATACTATGTGGTTAGAACAGATTGATCACCGTCACTTTATAGGAATCTAGTAAATTAAGTGGGCCATTATCAATTTATCTGTCTGCTGATGCGATTAAAATAACAGGACAATGAACCTCGTTACTAAGTCGTGTTTATAACAAGTTTTAAATTGTTATTGGTGTAACATCTACGGGCAACAACAGAAAGTTACGACTCAAGTAGACCGAATATTGACGATTATTTGCATAAAAAGAATTTAGCATGCAATTCTTGATATTTTTTGATAAGCATTGTCAATACATGACAGTCGTTAACTCCATTGAATAATTATATCACTGAGTCATTTGGCAATCCTTGGCAGTTTCTGTAAAGCTGAACGCTGACGTAACTTTCGCCGAGGTTGTTTGTCACCGTGTAATAGCTATTAAGAGAAGGGAGATAACTACAGTATAATATGTAACTTTTCAGACCACTTTTGTCATACAAGGAATTGTTGTAACAAGGGAAGTAACTACTATATAGTATTAAATCCTACAAACTACAATTATTATATATTTTTAGGTTCGTCAGTCAGCTGGACTCTATGGTATAATACAGACGAACCGTCAGATGGCGAGGACATCGAAACTTTTATCAGAATACAAAAAGTAAGTGATTAATAATAAGTATTTAATATAAATTTAATTTAAGCAAAATTACAATAAATTTGTATAAGTTTTTACTCATACTGAGGCAAATGCAAAATGCAAATCTAAATGTTTCGTTTCGTGTAATTGCTATGTATCTCAAGTTCTAGATCATATAATATTCAACCAACCAAATGCTTTCCTTACTATATGTGAGGAATTGTGTGATCTTCATTGTTTAATAGTAACTTGCAATGACTGAAGAGTTAGAGAGAAGAATAGGACCAAATGACCAATGAATCCGTGAAATATCCAAGTATACCTAAATGACTAAATGATGTGATGCTTCGGATATTACTTTCCATCGTCAACGAATATAGAGAGGACTAAATAGGGACGGGTGTCAATTTCCGTTTCTCAGGAAGTGACGTTGTGTTAGGGTGTATTGAGACGAGTCTCAATGAAAGCTCTGGCCTAGGTGACGTTGTAAAATAGATTTATATATATTTTTAGATTAATAATGAAGTATGTAAGGATGGGGAACCGGAAGATGTAGAATGTCGAGTTGTTGGAGATGAGGAGTCGACGTTTGTCAGTCAGAAATTGTGGAAAGGGAACACACTCAAACTTCCGTGTACCAAATATGGAGTCACTTGTTTAGATGTAGATCAAGAACACGAAAGGAAATGTTTTGATTATGAAATCAGATTTCTGTGTTCACATGATGAAGGTTGGTATGACTTTTGAAGTCTATCCGTGGGTACTCAGGATCTGATCTTGGGGTTGCCAGTAATCGGTCCATTTTCGACATGGGCGCCACGCTAAGGTCTGAATCGCCAGTCGACACGAGAAGGCAGCATTTAAAAAAAATATATTGCAAATAATACGTATTTAATACAAAGTACCTGAAGTCTCATTCACCTGAGCGGTTCTCGTTTTCCTACCGTCAGAAACTTTAACATATTTTTGTCATTTCAGATGCGAGAGTAACAAACAGTGGTGCTTTTATCGCTCTCTCAGCTGGCTGCTCTATATTGATACCATTAATCTGTGTTCTAATTATCAAATGCCGTAAATCTAGACTAGCTCAAAATCAAAGAAACGCGTCAGCAACAACCCCAGCTCAAAACTGTGATCCACCGCCATCGTACGAACAACTTTTTGGCGGAAGTGACGGTACATTGACCAATACCGCCTCCAGTACTGAAGATCTCGTGGGTTCGTCACGTGATCGATCTGACGGTTATATAAATGAAGGTTTTGTAGAGACTATTTCAGGGACGAGTGTGAGTGACACTGTTATAGAAACCGATGCTAATTTTAGTAACAATCGCGCTGGACCGAGCAGATATCCCGGCATGCACGTCTCAGTGACAGATTTAATGGGATCCACTTGCTTCCAATATGACACTACACCTCCTCCAACTTACAACGAAGCTTTAGAAATTTTAAAATCCGTGCCCCCAAAAACGTGAGACACACCTGTTATGTCAGACCATCATCGGTTAGCAGTATTCAAGACCCTAAAAATTGTGGTGTTAACATTTTGATCATGAGGGTGTGACACTATCCAGAGCCAGAGATGAGTAGGGGCCTGTGGACGTAAAGGATATAAATATATATTCATGTCGCAAGGCTTGCGGTTTGAGGGCCCCTTCTTCGGGAAATTTTTCTTAAACATAGAGAGTCCTTATGGAAGTTAGACCACTGTTTTTTGAGTAACTTTAAAGTAATAGAAACTTGAATGCTGGATAAATGCACTTCATAAGCCTCGTTAATGATTTGCAGCGTCCATGATGTACAAACATATCTTTGTTCGACTATAATTGTTGGTGTTTTCGGACAATAGTTTTGTAACCAAAGTAAATCCTGTAACAACATCTTCCTTTAGCATAAATATAGCAATTATTGTAAGTTGCGCTGTGTTCTGGTTAATGCATACGACAGAAATGACAATGGTTCAAGATTGTGAATTCTTAAGAAAGTTTGCGTGAAACAAGATTCGAATATATATATGACGAATGTTCAAAAAGTTATCATGAACAAGCTTCTTGAAATTAGCAGCGAAGGCCAAAGACCATTTAACTCCATAAATTAAGAGCTTCCAATACTATTTCTTTATTGTTAATACTATGTGTAAATGATTTGATACAATTATAATGATTGTATTTATTTATTATCATTTGGGAACATTTATAATGATTTGGGAACATCTATAATCATTTGGGAACATTTATAATGATTTGGGATCATTTATAATGATTTGAGTTTTGGGTCATTTATAATGATTCAGGATCAATTTAGGACGATTCGTGAATATTTATAATGATTTGGGATCATTTGTAATAATTTGAGATCATTTATAATGATTATGGATGCTGTGGTAGCTTTACATCTCTGATCTGCATACTTTTCCTTGTTTCATCTTTTTTTTTGTAGAAGTATAAGCGTAATGTGATACAATAATAAAAACAATGATTTTATAATAAATAAAAACTTCAAATGGAAAAACAATTGTTGAAGTTCTTCAAATTTTCAAATTCTGTGTGTGATATTGAGCAGCATTGACGGTATGCTTACTCTCATTTGCATTATGAAATACTTGTCAAGAGGAGGGGGGCCGGGTGGTGGGAACAAGCCACTATTCCCCTATATTCACTGATAAGATAATAAGAAAATGGTAGATGAGGGCCTAGCTTGGCCAGTCCCCGTAAAAACGACATTGGCTTCAATCGTAACAAAGGATAATTGGATCATGCTCTTGTAGAACCCTTTGCTCACCTATTACACCATCCCATACTATAAAAGCCGAATTGCACTGAAATATAAACCGGTGACCTATCTGTATTATATATTCCATAGGGCGTAACAACTTTTATGAATATAACTATACTAATATTCATAAATAAATTGCTGTTATTCATTCGTGTTTCGTTCACTCGATTTCGGCATAGGTTGAGATAATACGTAATTTTCAGGCTAGCATTTCTTTACAATGTTATTGCCAGAGCCCTTGGCAGGAAGACTGTTAACATATAAGCCATATTAGATCTATACCCCTAAATTTTGCTGTCCTGGATGAGCCCTCATCACGGCTCACAACCTTCAATACGCACTATGGACGATATCGATTTCTACGTTTACCTTTTGGCTTGAATGTTTCACAAGATATTTTGCAGGCTAGACTGGACGAAATATTGGAGAAATGCCCAGGATGTATTGGTATAGCTGATGATATTAGTGTCTTTGGTAAGAATGTTGATGAACATAATGAACGGTTGCAGGAAACTCAACTCCCAAAACCCCATCAGAAGCACTTTCAAGAACTCGTAGTGGACGTATTGTCAAACCACCCACGAAGCTTGCCTTATAAATAGGCCTATGTACATGTGTTAATATAATGTCTTTATATTAAGTAATTACAAAAAAGGGGTGGGGGTGACATTGACTAGAAATATTGCTAAATTTAACATATGTAAATATGTTCTATGATCAGCCAAGCTTTTCATTTTTACTGTTTGTTTGTAACGTTCTTAATAGTCCAGCGAGCACAATATTCATAGGGAGTAAATCTTTAATTAAACGGTCCCACTTCAACTCTCGTCACCGACTTGGCAGGTCATCCCATCTTTATGTTTACTATGTATGATTTATGATAATAAACCAACTCTGTCATGAATACACATCAATAGTACTCATTGTCCAAGCAGCTATCTTAACAATATATATATATAGATAAATAAGACAATTTTATGGATAGATACTTCTAGAATATGTATTACTTCAACGTTTCAATGTGGTTCTCGCTCCGTCATCAGGAATATAATATTATATATATATATATTAAGGATATTACGCCATATGGTATACATAGAAACTGTATGAAGAGACTCTTTAAGGGGGTAATCGGAAACGGTCTCTTCAAAAATTTGGACAGAATAAACACCAAAATTATTTTGTTTTGAAGGCCATTTTTGATCTTTAGACTGATGTAATTAATAAACAATTAAATTAATCTTTTGAGATCAGCAAATTGCCAGTAAACTATAATCCCTTTTAATGGCACCTGTATGTGGAACCATGTCATGTTTATCTTATAATTGAGATAATGAGAATGTTATGAAGTTTACATACATGGTCGCTGGTTGCGTAATGAAGGTGGTCGTTAATTTTTGAAAAGGTGGAGGTGGGACTCTATTGTGGTCGCTAAATGTAGGTGGTTACTTAGTAAAGGTCAACGTGAACATAAACGGGAAACCGCGTGGTATTGGGTCATGAAATCAAGGAGGAGAGGAAAGTCAACAAATTCATCATGTCATAATATGTAACAAAGGGAAAAATCTGTAGGCGTCTCAGGAAATTAGATATCTGCTTATTTATCTGTTTGACTTTGCATAACAGCATGCAAAACATTTCAATGTGCATTGGAGTGCAATTTATGAAAACTTTTGTGACTTAATATGATCAGGTTCCATGAGAGTAAGTTTCAACTAGAGGAGACCTCTGCATTAGCTAACAAAGTATAATATTACAGTAGTGAGCAACCAATGATATAACACTTATTTTGTGGTTAACAAAGAAAAACTAGAACTGCGAACAGCTCCAAGGGTGGCACGAAACCTTGTCCGTGGCTTTTGGATCTTTTTGGAACTTCTAGCTTGTAGCTTTCAACACTACCATAAGTCTACCATTAATGAACAATAATATCACCTCAAAATTCTCAATTTGTAACGAAAATAGAGAAAAAAAAGTTAGTTGACTTCAAGCCATAGTCCACTTGCAACTTCCAGACACTTTTTGTTTGTGTCTGGAAATAAACTTGAATAATGTGACTTTTTATATATTTATACCGTCTTATTGCGATTGCTTTCAATGTTTTCTGTTAGAAATAATTCAGGTGAAGAGTTTAATAATAAACATAGGTTTTTATTCATTATAGACCCCAATATCATCTCGGTTTGCCTAACGTCTGTCTTATTACTTTGAATTGGTTCTTTTATCCCCACATATGAAATTATTGCTATTGTTTTAAGGATGATGTTATTATTAAATGTGCTAGCTCTTTATTAGTCGAACAAAATTCATAATGGCATAGATTCAGCCTAGGAAAATGTTAAACAAATATCTTTATGAGATTAAAAGCACAAATAAGGAAGTAGGTTACATAACATATTGATAATACCCTCTGTTTTAAAACCTGTGTGCGTTGAACCATGACTAATGTGAAAAGTGAGGCTCAAATCTACTGTTTTATTACCAGACCTCCTGTCAATCATCTTAAACCCTATAAAGTGCCAAACCTATAAATTAACAAAATATTGGATTCTCTTTAAATTTTGCACAATGATTTAAGATATTGTTTTAAGCCACTCATTCCACATATCATTTAAAAGAGAATAAAGAGTGTATTCTGATTATGAAAACCACATCGATGTGAATTTCAGTCGTAAAAAAATTCAATATTTAAAAACAATTTTTCATATCGTTTGAAAGAGAACCAATCGTAGATTTAGAATGAAAAAAATCAAATCACTATGTTTATTAGAGAATGTGGTATTGCAGAAATGTCAATATTCTGATGACAAAAAAAACAACTGAAAATGAAAAATAAATACAACATTCTGTTCTAAACAAGGAAATCGTAAAAAATGACGAGAAAATGCGTAACTCTCAGGTAACAGCGCATGCGTGGCCACCTGATGTGATTTTGAGAAATCGGAAGTTTTCACTCCCGAACCGGTAGTAATTAAATAATGTGTGATGTATTGGTTGTCTCCCAGTATTTTTTTCATCTGCCCAAAACTAAGCACTACAGACTCCCAACACATTTTGCACAAAATGCGATATGCCACTTCCAGTTTAGCAAAAAAATGCAGTTTTTCAGAGACGTTCTCCAAAAAATAGGGGAAAAAAAAATAAGTAAAAGTACGAAAACAAAGCTTGACAAATTACGATTTGTATACACATATATAACGTACTTATAAAATTGCCATGCGAGACTATTTTTTCCGTTTTACTAAGTGTAAATGATCCTTGTATCCTGTTAGCGATGACATATAAGACTGTATTGCCCAGTATTATCTGTCTTCTAGTGCAGATAATAGAACACATATTATTCAGGTATGTCTTACGTACTGACGTTTATACATTTCTGGTTGTTATTTAAATCATTCCAAATACTACAGATATTATTTTTGTCAAATCTGATTTTAAGAATAATTACTTTTTCAGTAAATCAATATTACCCTTCAATTTTAAAACAATCATGTGTCATAGTAATTTTTTTTTTATTCAAAAAATTAAACTTTTCTATCTGTATATTTCAAGTTACCAAGATTCTTTCAGGCGTTATAATTCATTGTAGGTTTTCTAGAACTAGCAGGGATACAGTCATCCAGTGCTATGTTCCAAGCAACCCAACAACATGCTGGCTTAAAACAGGCAACATCTGAGTAAGTTACATTTTCTTCAATTGAATATTTGGAAATAATATGAAATAGAGTGTTACTTTTCTGCATCGGTTAATGATTAAGAAGAAGGACGTCGGATAGTGGCATCAGCCTGCTTTTCCCTATTTCCAAATATTGAGAGAACTTTATAGGTGCATTATGCAAAATTTTCTATATTAAAAAATCGTAAATTATACAGGAATAATAATAATTTTAAAATATCTTATGTACATCTATGTATCTACATAATCAAACCGAGAAAGTGTCAAAAGGGTTAAGTAGAAATGCAGTGTACAAATTATTACAAATTATTAATGACTAGTTTTTACGGTGGCTCACATACGACATTTTCCACTTTTTATTTTGAATTATATGAAAATTATTGTTATTAATTCATAAATTAAAAGTGAAATATGCCGTATGTGAGCCACCGTAAGTTTTGGTGTTGGGCCTCATAAAGACTCAATATTTTAGTTGAAACCTTCAGAGTACGTTGGAGACATATTTCTCTACAATTAGGCTCTCCTAAATGGAAACTTTTCTTATATAGGAAGGCGACAATTACATCTAACGTGCATTTGGAAGTGAAAGCAGAATAAATTTTTCATTTTACACAAATTTTCACAATTATTGACGTATTGGTCGCAGTATGGTTATAGGTTTAAACCAGTCCAGCTGGTCCATCCAATAATCTGTAATCTTCTATGTTTCGGTTTAATGTTAAGCATCGGCGAAACAGTCTTGATAGGCATAACTACCAAGTCTTCTATAGAGTGGTCGGGGAGATTGAAGTGATTCACAATAGGTCTCTTTTTGCCTAGTACGACCTCGTAACGATGCCCATTAAAATGCGTTTTCAACATATTAGACGACGCTTTATTTTACAAACTATTAGGTATATTAAATTTTGGTAGACGCAGAGAGTAGGTTACTCCTAAGGAAATATTTGATGATCTTTTTGTTTTGAAAATCATGAGAAATAGGTACATATCGCAAACACGCAGAACGGTATTGATCCATTCCAAAGTCATTGAAAAGGAGAGAGGGTTACTCTTTCTTTGAAAGTGCGTCGTTTTAAATGGCTTGAAACGTTTTGAGTTTTTTTTTTTTTTATCAAAAACAAGTTTACAGGCAGAAGCAAGATCGGTCTGTTTGGTACAAATTCAGTGAAATCTTAGAACTTTTATATGATTTTTAGGGGGTCACTCGCACGGGACTATTCAGATTCGTGAATACTATCTTAAATAATATATTTAAAGTATTCAAATTCTATTTTTCAGATATCGTGTTCGATACTCATTACGGGAACTTGAAGATTTGCCTAAGAAGAAGAACGACTTTCTCAAAGCCTGGAAACTTGTCAAAGATCTTCCACCTTCCAACCCCAATTCATTTTGGTCCATTGCATCTTATCATGGCATGCCGTTTAAAGACAGAATGGTAGAACCTAAAGATCTCCAAAGTCCTACTGAAGCCTGGAGTGGTTACTGTCAGCATTCGAATGTTCTGTTTCCAACATGGCATCGCTTTTATTGTCTACGGATGGAGCAAGCCTTACAGACTGTTCTACCGGATGGTGATGTTGCCCTACATTACTGGGACACCACATCTGAAGGAAGCAGGAAGGAAGGTCTTCCCCCTATACTAGTACAGCCAACAGTAACAATTGATGGTGATCCGAGTATACCTAATCCTTTACTTGACTTCAAATTTCCACGAGAGATAGAGGCAGATCCTGATAAATTTTACGTTAAACCTGAGGGTTATACGACAATGCGATATCCATTCTCGGGCATAGTTAACCCTGAAGAAGCTAAGGCGGTTTCTGAAGCCCATAATACCAAGATACGCGAGATGAATGTACAACCCACTGAGCTTCTTCAAGAGAACGTTATATACTTCATCAACAATGGAAGATATCCAGGGAAAGGATATAACAGCGTCTATTCTCAGTTCAAAGATTGTCTGGACACAGACGATTATAATAATTTCTCTAACACCACCTCGGTAGATCATGGTGATTCATGCTTAGAACAACCACATAATGACATACATTTATCAATTGGCGGTTTCACCAATCCAGAAAATCCTGGTGAATATTTTGGATTAATTCAGGGGTCCAATGGCGAAATGGGTGCCAATGAAGTTGCTGCTTTTGATCCGATATTTTTCTCTCATCACAGTAATATCGATCGTGTATTTTGGATCTGGCAGAGAAAATGGGATAAACAGCATGAGTTAACTATCAGGCCTGAAATACCCGAACCTGGTCACAACACCGGAACGTCAACAAAAGGTCAAGGACCAACACCAAATCAAACTCCTGATCAAGAATTAAACATGGATACGATTCTGTATCCGTTCCAAGACGAATATGGCGTTCCCAGAACCAGTAACGATTGTGTGGATATTGAAGGTCAACTTGGATATACCTACTCTAGAGGTTCATTAGAAGACGCCATTATACCATCCATTGCATCACGGCTATATACACGAGTCGTTGAGAAACTAGAAGAGATTGAAATCGAGCTGAGACAGAAGAGTCGTGTAACTTCAAATCAACCGCTGAGAGCTGTATTTGATTTGTCTAAACTTGTTGCTAAATATCCTCTATGGGGTAATTTTCTTCTTTTAAAACCATCAGATTCGAAGGTTATTCATTTTGCCGATAGAAAATGGAAGAGATTCTTCACTTTCAAGATTTCTAATTTAGATAAAGATGCTTATCCTGGCTCATTTCTTGTTAGAACATACGCGAAGAAGGCAGATAAGCTGATATTTTTAGGACATCGAGGTGTTCTCGACCGATGGGAAAGAAAGCTATGTTCTAATTGTCAAAATCGCAGATTTGCTTCATTGGGTTTCCGTTTAGCTGTAGACACTCCTGTCGATCCGAATCATATCGTGGCACACCTTGTGTCTAAAGATCCTCTGACAGGGACAGAAGTCGTAACTGACCTGGGTGTCAAATATGAACCTGAGGCTGCTCAATCAAAATCTCAAATTCAACCTACATTTCAAATAGCTATAAGATTTGATGAGGTCAAAGATTAAGATGTTTGTTATCACTTTGATAACTCAATTGTTTTTGCTTGTTCATGTAATCTTTTTATCTCATGCTTTTTTGTCTTATACTATAGACTATTATATTATAAGTTTTTTATTTCACGCTTATTTTTTTTAATACTTATGTGCTTTATTTTTTTATTTCATGACTTTACAAATATTAAAAGAGAACTTTTATTTCTATATTATTTAATGTATTGAACACCATTTTATCAGTGGTATTTCTGTATCCCTCTACAATTGATTATTGAGCACTATTTTAACAGTGGCATTTCTATATCGCACTACAATTGATGTATTGAGCACTATTTTAACAGTGAAAATATTTTATTATATAATCAATTTATATTATCTGAAATAAATAACACATGCTAAATCCGTTTGTTTAATTCATTACCAGAAGATTAGGTTTGAATGGTAAATACGTTATGATATGGAAATTTGAATTCTATTTGTCTGTACGAGCAACTCCTTACTGTGTTCTGTAGAAAAGGAACTAACAAACCAAACGCTTAAACCAAAGAATATATTACTTGCCTTGGGTTTGGTCAACTGACTGTATGAGGTAAATCATTTCCTTCTGAAACATGACCGTACTGCACTAGCACCTTGGCAAAGGGTAGGCTATTATCACTGGCCTAGCAACATTTCTCTCATTACTGACTGCATAGCGTCATTAGCCAAAACCTAGATAGAACAATAACGTCTCATTTGGCTCATAACTGCTTTATCGGCAATACATGTAGTCCCCTCATTACCCTAAAAGTGGATCCTTGAGTTTTAGAAGAGTGAGAATGTCCTGTCAAGCTAGAAACCACATCCAAAGTACTTATAGTGGTGCTCAAATACAATAAAAGAAGAAGAAAACACAAAGGAGGGAATGCTTAGCTTTCTATCAAGCGACAATTTCCAATTTTTCTACATGAAAATTCCATTTTCCTCAGTGTTTCTTCGAATTCATTAAAATCCCCGACCGAAAAAGAATACAATCTAATTCAACTTGGTTTTGACAATACAAGTATCTGTTTACATTTAGTCAATCTTCACAATGTCAAGCTATAACGAACTTCTTCTTACACCTTGAAATCAACAACCACCTTTCTTGTGTCACAGAAGTAAGTAAACGCAGCTATTTGATTTTCTGTCAAAGGCTCTGATTGGCTGTATTCGCTGGCGCACAATCCAATCAAATCATTGCAATATCAAAATGTTTGATTTCAGGTTAGTTTTTTTCCAGTTCGGATCGTTAGTAGGCTACTTGGTTTATTTATTTTATATCAGACTTTATTTACCAAAACATGTTTTAGGGTATCTATATATTTCAAGAACATCTACATTGAATATTGCAAAATAAATAAACCAAATACTAACGATCAGAACTACAAAACAAACCCGAAATCCAAACAACATTTTGCCGAAACACTTCTTAGCAGCTAATGAACATTTCACATGAAGAAGTATATCAACCATATATCAAGTTAATTAAAAATGGAAAAAAAGATGTTCCAAAACAACCATCGTTACCCTATAATCCATAATTTTAGAACTGGTATACACAAAATTCAAATTGATCGAGACTACTTAACCATTCCCGTTTGTATGACAATCAAGACTTCGATAACTCGATTGACCAGACATATATTTCGAGCGGGAGTTATGCAAGGCTGGAGCAATCGAATAACATGAAAAAGTGTGCAATTTGTCTTTTATAAAGTTAACAAGTTGTTGATGTTGTTTAAAACAGTTTGTTTTATCTCGTTATCTTCATTTACTAGGTCAGTATTAGATTGACAGAGCAACTTCGACCTAAAACCATGCTGCAAGTTTCAAAGTAGGGTATCGAGGTACATTTCGTCCACACGGGTATTTTCTAAGGCAAGTGGTCCGTGTATGTTCATGGGATCTTGCAGGTTATTTGAACAATTTTGATTCCACGTCAGATGTCTGGGGTTCATGTAATTCTAGCCAAACTTGTTCTGATTAGGACTTCACTATTGCAAATACATTCTAAGCCAAATAAATACATTCATGCTTTGTTTTTAGCACATTTATTAATTTATATATTGTCTATTTAGATTTGGGAGAAAGGTTATTAAAAGTAGGATAATCCCTTACCAGTCAAATTTACTAATTATATCTGAGGCAAGTCAAGTAAGAACCAAACAAAGGTATATAGTTAGTAATATTTGTAGTTTTCAATATAGACTGTATTCTGTGGACTCTAAAATTTCTAAAATGGGCTCTGATAAAAAATCGAAAGAAAAAGTAACCAAAAAGTCCTCAAAAGGTACAAAATCAGAAGATGTGCCTAAAGATTCAAAAGAGAAAAGTCCTGAAACAGATTTTTCGTCGAAGAAAAGAAAATTAGAAGAGGTGTCAACTACTGAAAAATCATCAGAAACATCACCAAGTAAAAAATTGAAGACTGATGGGGATTTTGTCAGTCGTATTGCAGCCAAACGAACCAATGTGTGTCAGTCAGTAACAGAGTTTAAATTCAATAAGAAACGTGTTCGAGTATTATCTCAAGCTAGCGATGCCCCAGATGAAAATGATGGAGTTGTATATTGGATGTCACGTGATCAAAGAGTACAAGGTAAATAAATTCCCTCAGTATGACACTTAGTGCATGGTATTTTACAATTTGATACATATCACACACAGTATAAAGGCTATGATAAGATACATACCTCAGTATAAAGGTTAATATACGATACATAGCCCAGTATAAAGGCTATGGTACGATACTTACCCCAGTATATAAAGGCTATGATATGATACATACCCCAGTATAAAGGCTATGATAAGATACATACCTCAGTATAAAGGTTAATATACGATACATACCCCAGTATAAAGGCTATGATATGATACATACCCCAGTATAAAGGCTATGATAAGATACATACCTCAGTATAAAGATTAATATACGATACATACTCCAGTATAAAGGCCATGATATGATACATACCCCAGTATAAAGGCTATGATACAATACATACCCCAGTATAAAGGCTATGATATGATACTTACCCCAGTATATAAAGGCTATGATACGATACATACCCCAGTATATAAAGGCTGATATACGATACATACCCCAGTATAAAGGCCATGATACGATACATACCACAGTATAAAGGCTATGATACGATACATACCCCAGTATAAAGGCTATGATACGATACATACCCCAGTATAAAGGCTATGATACGATACTTACCCCAGTATAAAGGCTATGATACAATACTTACTCCAGTATATAAAGGCTAATATACGATACATACCCCAGTATAAAGGCCATGATACGATACATACCTCAGTATAAAGGTTGATATATGATACATACCCCAGTATAAAGGCTATGATACGATACATACAGCAGTATAAAGGCTATGATACGATACTTACCCCAGTATAAAGGCTATGATACAATACTTACTCCAGTATATAAAGGCTATGATACGATACATACCCCAGTATTAAGGCTTCGATACTGTGTGTATAAATCAAATGTAGCACATTATCTTCAAGGCTTCAATAATTATAGCTATTAGTAATGTATAAAATAACAGAATACTTTATTTAGTAGTGTTTATTTTATAAATCTGTCAAAGAATTTGTGGATAGATTTAAAAATTGAGTTGCTGGAATAATAAGGAAAGCAGGGTAGGTCCTAGTAGGGTAGCTCAGTCGGTAGTGTGCTTGCCTGTTAACCTTAGAAATCCTTTACAGACAAGGTTGTATTTCAATATTTCACCCTGTTTGTCAAGTATCATATATGTAGGTCTGAGGGATTGACACAGAAAGGAACTTGACCATGTCAAGGACTGTAGACCGACACATTCAAGAGTTGAAATTAAAAAGCATGTCGGTGCTTACTTTCGTTCACGATGTAGGTGCTGTGGAGTTAGGCTATCATGCTCACATGTTCAATAAAAGTGTTTGATTAATGTTTGCTCTTGTGTTCCAGATAACTGGGCATTTTTATATGCTCAAAGATTAGCATTAAAGATGGAGGTTCCACTACATGTCTGTTTCTGCTTGGTTCCCAAATTTCTAGAGGCCACCATCCGCCATTTTGAATTCATGTTGAAAGGCTTGGAAGAAGTTGAAGAGGTAAAGTTTCTTTTTTGTCTGATGAACAGCAGATGACCAGGACGTTTTCATCACTACACTGTCTTAATGGTTACTCAAGTAGCATTTTGTAGCACCACATAAACATGAATAATGATATAATGTAGCCTTTTCTTTATTATTGGTTGGTACAACCTGTTAATTTTTATCTTAGATTCTGTTTTTAATCCTTAAAACTTTACTAAACTTTACTATGTTAATCAGAACTTTGAAATGAAAAGTTCCTACTTGGATCTAGACTCCTAAATATTGTTAATCTCATTTCACTTTTACACAACATACACTGTGTGTTATAACCAGGTGCTTTCAACCATGGGGTAATTATGAACTTTTTGAACGATTATAATTTAAGTTGTATTCAGTCAGGCTAAAATCTCTGACACGAAAAAGATGGCAGGGAAACTCTAAGATAAAATCAAATAATAGTAAAGATTTTTAGGGAGGTAATGCTATCGATCAAGGAAAGCGGTAATAGAATGAAAAAGATTGAAAACCCCTGTGTTATACAATCGGTGATTGTTCATTTGAATGATTATGTTGGTAGATTGGAGAAGAAAGAACAATAATACAGTTAAATATCATGTATCTAACTCGTATCCTTTGTTAAATGAGATTAAACAAGTTAAATGTATCTTGTATAATTTGTTATCCATCAAAACAAAACCCCTCACTATTCTGTCTTTCAAAGACGGTCAGATTTTAATCTTACAAGATTTTGTCAAAGCTTCAGATCATATGTAATATGTAAATTTGAAATTAGTAAAAAATGAATTTTTTTTCAGGAATGTCGAAACTTAGACATTTCATTCCATCTTCTGATTGGTTACGCTAAAGATGTATTGCCAGAGTTTGTGGGTAAGAATAAGATGGGAAGTGTGGTCACTGATTTCTCCCCGTTACGAACACCAATGTCCTGGGTAGAAGATGTTAAAAACAACCTATCTAAGGATGTACCATTCTGCCAGGTATTTACATATTTAGGAAATTTATAAGGTTCAACCTATGAGGCTGTTATTTGATGAAATTATGAAACAATTGGGAGCGCAAACCATTTTTCTTGGGGGGTGAGGGGGGATGCTGTCACTGATTCCACCTCAATTTGATACAAGTTAAGATTAATTGTGTTTATTATTAGAATTGTCTCTGTGTATGAACAATGTGATAAAATTTCTAAAAAGATGAAATATTTTTGGTTGCCAATATTGCTTATATTGTTTTTGAATATGACATTCAAGGTAGATGCCCATAATATAGTTCCCTGTTGGGAAGCTTCACCAAAATGTGAATACGGAGCTCGAACTATCAGAAATAAGATAAATAACCAGCTATCAACTTACCTGACAGAGTTCCCTCCCCTTGTTCAACATAAATATAAAGCTAAACATATAGCACAGGTTAGTTTTCACTCATTATGTATATCTCTCTCTGCTTTGTTTTATTATACTGACATCAACCTAGTCCTTTCACGTCTTTATTTTTGTCACACTGTCCCCCCAATACTCCAGATCAATTTGAATATCAAACGACCAAAACTTTATGTAATATAGAAATAAAAAGGAAGTTTGAAGAGTTATTGTTGGCTTGCTATGTTGTAATGACAATATGATGTTCAATTTGACCTGTAACCTCAGATTAGTAGAAACTAAAAGGAAATTCAATTAAGTTTTAAATGATGGCATGCCCTCCTCTTCAATGAAACTCCATTTCCAGCTGGAAACCACGAAGGTTAAGTGAGCTATACGCTTGCTCGCTAACCCGAAGGTCCAGGGTTCAATCCCAGCATAGGTCGATATAATACCTTTGGAATTTTTTAAACCAGTTTCTCTCGGTGAAGTAGGTTGGAGAGGCCGACATGGCACCTAGTCATTTGTTTGGGGCACCCTGTGCTACAGATTGTGGATGTTTAAAGGTCCCATGACTTTAAGAGCAGGCTAATGCCACTTTCCTGGTAAAATTTCCTTCATTGCACACTGCATGGTCTTCATTGCCCGTCTTCATTAGCCCAAAAAGTAGGAATAAAACTCTCCCAATGAAGATTTTATTTGATAGCATGTTCTTGATAATAAGAGTTATTTATAAAAATGTCAAATATTTCAATGATTTATTATATATAACACAAACATAGTAATTAACATTTAATTTCAAAATTAGCAAGATTAGCATGCTTTCAAATATTGTTCATCAAACTTAGTGGAATTGTCCATGGAGAAATATTCTTGGGGTTATAAATAAAACTAAGACTAAGATGAAATTTGTAAAAATAGGAAGCCATGAATTTTCATATTATCATATTACTTTACATGTATATCCAAATTTCTAAAACTCACAAATACTGAGGTTTTGTGTGCTTTAGAAGAACAGACGTAATGTAATGTGATGTTTTAAATTTGTGGTATGAAAATTCATGAGATTAAAATACATAGATAACTATTTTTACAAAGTATAACTTAGTCTTTGTTTTATTTCTACAGGTAATTGTAAGTTTATTTTTTTCTAAGTATCAAAACTGAATTATCTCCTTAATTTTTCAATACCTTTCAAGATGATGCAGTTCACCATTTTTTGTTTTTGACATATAATTTACGATTGGCTGAGATATGAAATCCACGATCGACTAAAATTTCAAAGTAATTCATAAACATTCTAGACGTAATCAAAGATATCATTATTTTAAAAAAAATCCCCACAACAATAAGGCAAAATATTATTGGAATATAGATAAAAGGGTAATTCGAACTAACAATTTGCTGACAGAACTTTATTTAGATGAAATTTCTCTGATCTGTTTTATATTGAGCTGAACAACAAACTGATTGTTTAATGTTATAAAGCCAGAGTCTTTACCAGCAAATTTATACCAGTCGATGGCTTTTTTCCAGGCCCAATTTGAACATCCCCTAGCTAATTTATGGTTACTACAGGATGTTGTTAAAGTTTTACTGTCATTAATATTTAACAAACTGAGTTGACCATCAATAATACAAAATTCCAGTCCAGGATTATCAGCATTTAATAATTCAATACTAATACATAAGTGAGAAGCAAAAGTAAAAGAAGATTGATTCGTTGTAGATTTCCATGCTGAACAACTCCATATTATACCATTACTAAACCACTTATCTTTACTGTAATACTTTTTGTCTGTGGCTATCTTATCCATATCAAATGTAAAACAATTTGGTTTATTTAAGTAATATTGTTTGTTAACTGTTAAACCTAACATATCTATCTTAACGTTAAAATCATGTTCTTTCCAGGCCATATACTTGTAAAAGACTGGTGTATCATCTTTCATACCATCACACAGTTTTTCCAGTTCTTTTATTTTGGGAAGTGTAGATAAGATTTGTACGCAGCTGTCTTCGGTTGAAGATGGAAGATTTGACTCTAGATCCAGTTTAACATTTTTCATTTGTTCCAAGATATTCTCTCGAGCACCATTCAATTTATCTTCTGATTCTTCAAATGTATTTCTGATTTCTATCATAGTTGTCTGACTGCTAGTTTGTATATCTGCTATAATTTTCTCTGTTTGTTTGGTAATTCTTCGACAGGCATCTTCAGTATAACTCTGAAGTTTCCTACTGGCTTCTACCAATTTTGTATGAGTTTCTTCTAGCTCTTTGATTTTATTCTGAATTAACTTCTCTGAAGATGAAACAAATTCTTTGGCTTTCTCCTTGGAAGTTTCACATTCGACATCTAAATATTCATGGCCCTGGTGGTGTTTCACAAAACATTTATGACATATCAGACTGTGGCAGCTTACACAATAGTAGTCAACTGGTTTCTCATGATAGGGACAATGGTGTTGAGCTGGTAAAACTGGTTGGAGTGCGACATTTGTTTCTAGTGGCGTGGAGGTACCAGCAATGTTTGTTGTAGATGGCAGAGTTGGTGTTATCTTGTCAACTTGTTGTGTTGTCTGCGCTATAAAATTAGTAGTAAACATCCTGGCACCACCTTCTGGAATCTTGACATCTTGTGCACAAATCGGACAGGTGAATTTGTCTGTTTTATCACCAATATATCTAATTATGCAGTCCAAGCAGAATGTATGACCACATTTCAAAACTTTAGGGATCTTAAAACTTTCACAACAGATAGAACATTCTGGTGTGGTACTGATAGAAGCTGTAGCCATTTTATTTTCCTTGCTTGGTAGCAAAACTCTGTCAAGATTAGGTTGGATGGTCTTTATATTGTTAACTAACTTGCAGCTTAAATATTCACTCCTTGGCTGTTTTTTCCGTTAGAAAGCCCTTCTCAGTGACAATTCAAATTCAGTTTTATATCCAATTTGAAACACAGTTTAGATGTCCTGGTTGAAATAAACATTCAGGTATAAAACGTATTATATTCGATGGATTTTGTTGATAAGAACACATTCATAGAAACCTTGTTATCAGATGTGTTGAAATCAAACAGTCAAACAATGTATGAGGTCTTTCTAAGAATTAGCTGCATTTTCCTCATATTGAACTTGTTTCAGTTTCTAGGATATCTAACTGTAATTCTTAGAAATGGCTGGCTGGTTACATCCAGTTTAAAATGGAGGTCAGACTGTAATAGGCCTATATACAGATATTCTATAGCTTGACCTACTTACACTTTATTCAATATAACTCTAGCTTAAGTTGTGTATATTGTATAGTATGGTATAGGACCATAACTACATCAAGGCACATGTTAAATTTAAAAAAAAAAACGAAAATAAACGTTTTTTTAAATTGATTTGCCAAAAATATAGAAATAAGAAGATTTAAAAGTGCATTTTTTGCAGCATGTGTTCTCATACTTACATTTAGTGATTTACCAAATTACTTACGAAACTTACTAATTTAAAAAAGGTACAAAATTCAACCGTAAATCCCAAACTTTATCATTATAAAGAGACTAGAGCTTGACTTGAATGTACAAATTATATAGTTTAGGGTTTCTAAAGAGGTTTTTGCACCATGTGCACTCATAATTACATTTAAGAATTTCTTTTTAAAACTACGAATTTCAACAAGAGAAACTGTAAATGCCAGACTTTATCCTGCCAAGGATGGGAAGTCTTGGTGTCAGAGACTAGAGCTTGACTTGAATGTGCATACAGTCTAGTTAAATAAGAGATTCTAAATTGATTTTTGCATCATTTACCAAATTATTAACAAAAACTGCAAATTTCAACCAGATAAAAATTCAAGCAACACAAATTTCAAAATTGGTGGTTATAGACTAATTTTTCCAGGAGAATATTTCACAAACCACTTTCAGATAAATATTTTGTGAACCTCAAATTCAAATTGAGATGGGGATGATATTGCCATTCATCCAGTGACATCATATATCACTTGTAATCCAAAATGCATATCAAAAAGTCTAGATTTGAACGAAAACTGGTAGAAGTGGTTCCAGTCAGGAGAATATTACATATCATATCTAAATTTATGTCAAAGTGGGCACAGGAGTCTTTAACTTCAGTTGATTTTAACTTACCAGCTATCTGATTGGTCAATCACTAAAAGTTATTTTAAATTCAGTTTATTATTTAATCAGATTACTATATTTCTTCAAATCTTGATTTTATCTTGGTGAAGTTATGGGAACAAGACCCCAGCCAGGGTGTAATATTTGTTCTTCCAATGAAATGATAATATCATAACTTACTATACAATGTACCCAGAGGCCTGTTCCACAAAATATTTACTGAATTACAGACACGATTTTAATAAATCAAGTAATGTGATTGGCTTATAAAGCTGAAATTATAATTGGTTTTAGTTATTGACCAATTGGATTACTAGAATACTAAAATCACTCTAAATTAAGTTTTTGTGAAACAGGCTCTTGATTAAAATGAAATGACTGTTATATTTTAAAATAATTGAGCTAAATTTGATGGTATACTACTCCTGAGTTTTATTGTACATAATGTTTCAACAATTAACATTGTATTGTATTATATTACAATGTGGATATCTACCCCTAAATGTGCTTTTAGGATTGTTATGTATTTGTAGAAAGTAGATTGGAAGGCAGCTATTGAGAGTTTGGAAGTAGACAGAACAGTCACTCTACCAGATTGGTGTAAACCGGGGACCAACGGAGGACTGGAAACTCTGGAATCTTTCCTGAAAGACAGAATTAAATATTTCAACTCTGAACGCAATAAACCAGATAAAGAAGTTCTCAGTAATCTTTCACCATGGTTCCATTTTGGTAAGATAATATGTTTCTCAATCTCATGATAGGCACTACTTTAAGGAATACTACCCCTGCACAGAATACACATAAAATTTAGCTTCTCAAACTTGGCCAATTAGAAATCCTCAATGGACTAACCTGGTGTCTTCAATGGACTAACCTGGTGTCCTCTATGGACTAACCTGGTGTCTTCAATGGACTAACCTGGTGTCTTCAATGGACTAACCTGGTGTCCTCTATGGACTAACCTGGTGTCATTAATAAACAGAATCCCTGTATAATCCATATAATATCTTAAAGCTTATAATTATTTTTCGATAATTATGTCCTGAAGTTTACTAGATAATTACTCAGTTGAAATATGCAATTTTTAAATTATCAGATTCAAGAGAGAATCAGTTATATAATTATGACACTGGGTGGGTCCATATAGATGAATCTATCTATACTCTTATTTATCCAGTACTTAGTTATTAGGGGAGTTAAAAGGTAACAGGCACAGGGTTCACAATTGTTAAGTCTAGTATGTTAAGATGGAAATTTGTAGTGCTTCTTACATAAGTATAATAATAATATTGCATAAGGAAATAGAATGAAAGAAATTATATTAGTAATGTCTGAAAATTAATCTATCATTGCAACTGGTCTTGTAAAGAATTACTACAGAATCAGAATTTTTTTTGTGTAAAAAACACTTGCATCTGTTTCTTTAATGAATATTGATTTTATAACACAGGTCAGGTGTCTGTACAGAGAAGTATTATCATGGTGAAAGAAGTAAAGAGTAAATATAAAGAAAGTGTGGAAGGATTTCTAGAAGAGGCGATAGTACGAAGAGAGCTAGCTGATAACTTCTGTTTTTATAATAAAAACTATGACAATATTGAAGGTAGACCAACTTAGAACTCTGATTTACAATCTGTTCTGTATATATAATATTTGAAATATCTGTAGGAATAAGAGGTACATAATAACAAAAAAGAGGCATATATTACAAATGACAAATTTTTAAACATAAGTAGAAATATCCTCATTTCAGAGAATAAAGTCATTTAGATAGTTTCAACTGTGTATTATTTTTTTTGTGAACTTAGAACTGATTTGAGACTTGCCTTAATTCAACAATAATTTTCGATCATCATTAACATTTAACATATTTTTAGACCATACCTGTACTATTTTTAGGCTGATATTCCAAAAATAAAGAAAAATCCAAAACAATTTTTGCTGTGCTTTGACAAAAGACTCTATGAACCAGTATCTGAGATTTGCATAACTTGGAGTTCACTCAGTCAGTAGTACAAAAGAATAAGGAACACTGAAATGAAAATAATAGGTGAAGCTGGAATTTACCATTTAAACCACAAAAAAATGAGTTCCAAAATGTTTCTTAAAACATAATAGACATTGATTTCTAAAGTAGAATTTCTCTACATTTCCATCTATAGGAGAGATCGGCCAAGATGTCATAGTGATGGTTAGAGTAACACATGATGAACAACTTGTAACAGTCATGCATGTGTTCTATTTTTAGCATATCATGGCTTAGCTGATTTCTTCTATTCTAGGTGCATATGAATGGGCTAGGAATACTCTGAAAGACCACTGGAATGATAAGCGTGAATATCTCTACACCAGACAACAATTAGCTGAATCATCTACTCACGATGATCTCTGGAACGCTGCTCAGGTTTGTGTATATCGATACTTTCAAAATAAGGGGTTCTGTTGAACAGATAGTGTTAGAAACATGACCGTTAGTCAGTCCAAGCACACATCCTTTCCTTCCTGTTCAGTAGACCCTATCTCAGCTGCAATCTGTTGAAAACATTACATCAGGTCAATGTATGGTTATGTCGAACAGATGGTTGTTGTTTGTGGTGTGAAATCCTGATGACTTTGAATAAGTCATCTTTCCTCATTATTCCACTCAAACCAGTTGTTAATGGGTCTGAATATTCTACAGATAAGCTTGGAAAGATAAATGCCAAGAGGTTTGGCGAAGGATCAACTGGTAAAAAGGATCCATTGTGAACATAAGTTATAATCCTTTTAAAGGATGGTTGTTTCTTTTCTTTTCTTTCTTTCTTATTTGTCTGAAGGAAAACAAGTAGTCTGTGGTCCATAATTCTACTCTTTAAAGATGGGTTCCCTTATATTCATTTATGAAAATGAAAATGCTAATACTTATATGAATAGAAAGTAGAGGTGTTCTTAATACTTGGAAAAATACCAGTTTTTCTGACATGCCCATAACTAATTCATAATTAGCTACATTAGAAGAGAATTACCAGCAGAATTCCAATGAGTGACCGATCAAGAAAGGTCAAAAAGTCTTTTGTTTATCTAGACTGTACATACATGGACATTTTATGACTGGTTAAAACTTTTAATTATATGCAATCAGAACATAATGATATGATTAAGAATACATGATAATTCATTATCACTAGAAACACCAATTAAAGAAGAAGTTTACTTAATTTGACACTAAAAAAATAAGGAAACCCATCTTTAAACTGTTTAGTTGAATTAAATATTAGCTGGTTTTCTGAAGATCAAACTATGTTCTGTTTGTTAAAATTCACAATTACAAGTACCACCCAGAAATGCCCCCTTGATGTTTTCATTTCAAACTGAAGTCAATTATCAGTCTTTTTTTTTTTTTAGATAACTCAAGTTACCTAATTTCAACCAATGGGTTTGTGTTAAAATTGATGACAATTTTGCTTTAGTAGTTGTAATATCTTGGTATTTTGATATAAAGTCACTGAATTTGAATATAATGAATCTGATATATGTTTATTTTAGTACCAGCTAGTAACAGAAGGTAAAATGCACGGGTTTCTAAGGATGTATTGGGCTAAGAAGATATTAGAATGGACAGAGAATCCAGAAGTAGCGTTAAAAGACAGTATATATTTGAATGATAAATATTCTATGGATGGTCGAGACCCTAATGGTTATGTTGGTAAGTAGACTTAAATACTAGTAAGAAACTCACAACTGTGATCGCTACGGAGTGAGAGCCCCTTTAGGAATGGATGTATATGAAGCTCGTAACACTATACTATTGGCAAACATTTCAAAGAGCTAATGTAATTTTGATATTTATATTGCTAAAATTTGATACGTAATATGTATAGTCTATATGATCTATTCTATTTGAAGATTGTATGTAGTCTATATAATATATTTATCTATTTGTAGGTTGTATGTAGTCTATATAATATATTTATCTATTTGTAGGTTGTATGTAGTCTATATAATATATTTATCTATTTGTAGGTTGTATGTAGTCTATATAATATATCTATCTATTTGAAGATTGTATGTAGTCTATATAATATATCTATCTATTTGAAGATTGTATGTAGTCTATATAATATATCTATCTATTTGAAGATTGTATGACGTAGTCTATATAATATATCTATCTATTTGAAGATTGTTTGTAGTCTATATAATATATTTATCTATTTGAAGATTGTATGTAGTCTATATAATATATCTATCTATTTGAAGATTGTATGACGTAGTCTATATAATATATCTATCTATTTGAAGATTGTATGTAGTCTATATAATATATTTATCTATTTGTAGGTTGTATGTAGTCTATATAATATATTTATCTATTTGAAGGTTGTATGTAGTCTATATAATATATCTATCTATTTGAAGATTGTATGTAGTCTATATAATATATCTATCTATTTGAAGATTGTATGTAGTCTATATAATATATTTATCTATTTGTAGGTTGTATGTAGTCTATATAATATATTTATCTATTTGTAGGTTGTATGTAGTCTATATAATATATTTATCTATTTGAAGATTGTATGTAGTCTATATAATATATTTATCTATTTGTAGGTTGTATGTAGTCTATATAATATATTTATCTATTTGAAGGTTGTATGTAGTCTATATAATATATTTATCTATTTGAAGATTGTATGTAGTCTATATAATATATTTATCTATTTGTAGGTTGTATGTAGTCTATATAATATATTTATCTATTTGAAGGTTGTATGTGGTTTATATAATATATTTATCTATTTGTAGGTTGTATGTGGTCTATATAATATATTTATCTATTTGTAGATTGTATGTGGTCTATGTAATATATCTATCTATTTGTAGGTTGTATGTGGTCTATATAATATATTTATCTATTTGTAGGTTGTATGTAGTCTATATAATATATTTATCTATTTGAAGGTTGTATGTAGTCTATATAATATATTTATCTATTTGAAGATTGTATGTAGTCTATATAATATATTTATCTATTTGTAGGTTGTATGTAGTCTATATAATATATTTATCTATTTGAAGGTTGTATGTGGTTTATATAATATATTTATCTATTTGTAGGTTGTATGTGGTCTATATTATATATTTATCTATTTGTAGATTGTATGTGGTCTATGTAATATATCTATCTATTTGTATGTGGTTTATATAATATATGTATGTATTTGTAGGTAGTATGTGGTCTATATAATATATTTATCTATTTGTAGGTTGTATGTGGTCTACATAATATATTTATCTATTTGTAGATTGTATGTGGTCTATATAATATATCTATCTATTTGTAGGTTGATATGTGGTCTATATAATATATCTATTTGTAGGTTGTATGTAGTCTATATCATATATTTATCTATTTGTATGTGGTTTATATAATATATGTATGTATTTGTAGGTAGTATGTGATCTATATAATATATGTATCTATTTGTAGGTTGTATGTGGTCTATATAATAAATTTATCTATTTGTAGGTTGTATGTAGTCTATATCATATATTTATCTATTTGTATGTGGTCTATATAATATATGTATGTATTTGTAGGTTGTATGTGGTCTATATGTGGAATACATGATCAAGGTTGGAAAGAAAGACCTATATTTGGTAAAATAAGATACATGAATTATCAAGGATGTAAGAGAAAATTTGATGTAGCTGCTTTTGTGAGAAAATATAAAGTGAAGAAGCCTTTGCCAAATATATTTAATAAAAAATGAGATTTAAATTTTTATCATGGATGCCAACTGATGTTACTGTAATGTCTTTGTTAAAGGGTATTTTTATATAAAAATTTTTATTTTAGTTATTTTTGAGAGCCGTTTTGGTTTACTTCTTGCAGTACATGTACTTCTAAAAATGATTTCAACGATAAACAATGAATGGATATAAAATCATACTCCACATATCGAGATAGTTCAATGTGTTATTGATGCAATTGGAGGTACTGGCATGGTAAAACCGTATAGTCTAGTCCTTTGGATGTGATATGTACGAGTAGGCTTATGTTTCCAAAGATGGCATTGTCCGTCTTCAGTAGCCGAACTGTAGCTCTCGCTGGAGCAAATTACAATTGGTTAAGCGAGTATGGCCAAGACAAGAGCGACACTAAATTGCTTGAATCAAAATAACCTTGAAGTTTAAAAATCCTCTTTGAGTGTAAGCAAGAATTTCTTTATTGGCCTTGTGTATGTTTTGAAATGAAATGAAATGCATTAAGGAGCATCAGCACCAAACGGGCTATATAGCTCCAGAATACGATGTAAACATCATGTCATAGAAAACAAAACTAAAACAATAAACAATATATAACAAAAAACAATATCACAGAACAAAACAAGACGATAAAAACCATATCACAGGAAAAGTCATTTAATGACTACAAAAAACACTTAAAACAATATCACGGGTAATACACCACATGGTGGTATTAAAAACAAACAAAATACTAGAGCCACACGTTGCACAGAGTGGGACTTTGCAAATGTAGCAAATTGCAAAAGACTCTGAAAAAATCTACCTTCTACGATAATTACATCACGTGCAAGAACAGTCTAAAGTTGAGAAGGATTAATTCTTTGGAAGATTGTTATACCGGAAGTAGACTTACCTCACAAATGAAAGTATCAGAAGATAGCCAAGGTCAATGACATTTGACATTGAAAAGGAGACGGTCAACAAAAGTCAAGGTTACGAGATACAAGTCATCAATGTTTTTAAATATATATACGGCTATAAAACCGGAAGTTGAAATAGGACAGCAAATATGAAAGTGTAAATAGATAGCCAACGTGAATGACCTTTGCTCCTACAAAAGTCAAGGTCAAAAAAGGTCAAGGTCAAAAATTGAAAATTTTGAATTTTTAAAACATGTTCCTTTTTTGAACTATAAAGCTGAAACAATCGAACTTCTAAGACAACGTGGTTCAACAGATGAAGTAATTGTATGCAAAGTTCCATTTTGAACAAATGTATAATTTGAGAGTTATGCCCCTGGCCAAAAATGTCAATAATAGTAGTATATGAGCTTTCAATTAGGTCGCATAAAAGGGGATTCCCCATTCCATTTCATTTCATGGGGAAAATGCGCCCCTAATTGAAAGCTCCCATAACATAAAGACCTAAACATCCTACATTTCATAAATTCTTACAGCAAAATTCCCTACATTTCATAAATTCTTACACCTAAATTCCCTACATTTCATAAATTCTTACAGCCCTAAATTTCATACACCAAAAACACCTTCAATCAATTTCCTACATTCCATCAAAAAAAGCAAATTTTAAACCTTAAAAATGGCGAATAAAATACTAGATCCAATCTTTAGATTATACGATCCAATTCGTTATTCATTTAACAAGAAAAAAGAGGATTATATTATCATCTCTCCCACCGTTGGTTCTAAATCCCAATTGAATGATGGTGGTAGAATTACCTTCGAAATAAATTCATTATCGAATTGGTTGCTTCTTTCCGATGCTTATTTCAGATGCGATTTCAAAATCAAAGACGCCACTCAGAATCAAGTACCACAAACTAATACAACTTTAGAAAACAATATCTTTCCATCTTTTTTTAGCGAGATGGTTTTGGAAGCTGGTTCAAATCCGATAGAAACAATCAAACATCCTGGGGAATTCGACACAATGTTGAAAACAGTTTTATATCCTAAAGATTTCGATTCAGTTTCAGGCTGGATACCCGATGTTGGTGATGGAAGTATTTTAAAGGAACCAGTAAGAAATCTTGCAAATGATGCCGATTTAGCTAGAGTGAGAGTTGTTGCTCGAAACACGATAGAAAGAGTAGGACGAGCAGTTAATCATGGATTCGAAAAACGAGTACTTCAGTATAATAATGTTGTTGAGAATAATAGGTGGGGTAATTATGTAAATTGGAAATTTTATCCTTTATTCGGTCTGTTGGAACATAGAAAAGTTTCTATAGGCTTACCATATAAAATTCATCTACAAAGAGAAATAAACGACGATAAGATATTCTTTGGAGAGAATGGTTCAGATGCAAAATTAGAAATAACGAATCTCCAACTTTTCATACCCGTAATAACACCATCAATTGAAGTAGAAACGAAAATATTCAACTCGTTAACTAAAGATATTGAAATAGCTTTTCTTCATCGTAACACTGTAGGTAGCATGACTTTAACCGCAGAATCCACTACATGGCCAATCACTAACACTATTAAACCAGCAAGATATTTAATAGTTGGTTTCAAGAACTTACCAGATTCTCAAACGAATAACAATAATGTCTTTAGAGTGGCAATGAACCAAACTCAAGATCCTTTAATCCATAAAGTTCAAGTAAGAGTAAACAACGATAATTATCCTAACCAACCTTTAACAATTAATCCAACCACAAAGGATTATAATGAATTGTATAGAAACTATAAAAATATGTGTGAATTATTCGGAAATCTACCTCAGTTTGAATATGTAGATTTTGCACTTAATCATCCAATCTTCTGTTTTGATCTATCCGCTCACCAAGAAGATCTTTTCAAAACAGGAGTGAACATAAATATTCATATTGAAAAAACACAAGGAGATGTAACAGGTTATTGTTTATTTTTAGAAGAAGCAACATTTAATTAAAATAGCAGGAGAAGAATGATAAGAATTGAGTAAAAAATACACCTTTAAAAATGAAACCAGAAACTTTAGTTATGAAAATAATAGAAGCTATAGAAACAGCTTCACCAACTACAATAACTTATAATGGTAAAAAAATCAGCATAACTAAAAAACTTATTGATAAATACAAATATTGTAAAGTCAGAGACGATATAGATTTAGAAAGAATTGACGCGAACGCAAAAGAAGGTGGATTTATATTTTCCCTACCTTTAATATTTGCTGGTATTACCGCGGCGGCTACAGTGGCTGGTGCTACAGCTGGTGGAATAAAAACTGCCAACGCAAAGAAAGCTGCTATTGCAGAAGCTGCTGCTACAAAAGCTGCCAACGAAAAGAACGCAGCCGAACAACGTAGACATAACTTAAAAATGGAAAAGTTGGCAGCAGAGATTGAAAAACCTAAAACGGAAAAGAAAGGTTCAGGAGTGGGAGAAATGATAGGCACAATGAAAGAATTTGGAAAAAGATTTAGTGAAGAAACCAAGAAAACTGTTAAACAAGGATTAAATAAATTAGTAGATAGTACTGACACAGGAGAAATCAAATTCAAACATAAGGGTAATGGAATATTTTTAAAAAATATACGCACTGGAGAAGGAATATATCTTTTGAAGTATAAAGGAGAAGGAGTGATTTTTGGAACAAATTAAAATAATAAAAAATGGGTAAAAAATTTAATCATTCAGAAATATTTCCTAATAACCCAATGCTCATGTGTATATGCGGTAGTTCCGGTTCTGGGAAAACTCATCTCACTTTTAACATGTTGACAACACCAAACCTTTTAGATTTCGATTCTGTGTATATCTACACAACAACACCAGAGCAATCGTATTATCAATTTCTCAAAACTTTAGAATATCTACCAAAGAGAGATGTTCAAGACCTATTTCAATATTACAAAGAAAACGAAGAAGAAGTGGAATTGAAAGATTTCATAGATAACTACATCGAAGGAAAGAAACCAACGGATATAAAAGTTTTTCTTACGAAAAATGTTAATGATCTAGATTTGTCTCAAATTGATAGCGAGCGAAAGAACTTAATGTTGTTTGACGACTGCGTGGCGCAAAGAAATCAAGCCGTTCAACAAGAATTCTTCACGAAAGGAAGACATCACAACTGTCACTGCATATACCAATCCCAATCTTTTTACGGGATGGATTCTATGTTCATTAGAAAAAATGCAAATTGTTTTTTATTATTTGAATTAAACGACAAAGATTTATCTCAAATCGTTCAATCGATAAATCACGGAATGGACTGAGATGCATTTAAAAAGGTTTGTAAAGCTCAATGGAGATATCCAGATGATCATGGATATGTATTTAGAGTTATGAACGATATATGTTAATTTTATTTTTTTTAAAATGGATTGGAATAATATTTTAAAAAGAAATAGAGAATATATCAAAGCTAAGAATAAAATAAAGACCCAAGTTGAAAATAACAGATTACAACAACTCGGATTAACGGATAATCTACAGACTCTATTTCAACCCATATTAAAATCTCAAGAGGATATTAAAAAGAGACTCATCCTTCCTATAGAACCTCATCAAATAGAATATCCCATTAAAGATGATGAAATCATAATTAGGACATTAGATGATATAAATCGTCTTTTTTCAAACCCTAAAGCAGATTTACCAAAGAGTATTACACCAATCATTGATGATAAGGGGTTATTGTTTAATGGATTTAGAATAAAATTTAGGGCAAATTCCCCTATATTCAAAATCGACACAAAAAACTTAATATTTACATTAACGACAGGATTAATAGATTTAATGAATGGCGGGTATATTGGCACTGCCGATTACAAGGATTTACTAGCATACTCCAAATTTCTAGATGCAATAAGAAAGTCAGGACCCGAAACAAGAAGATTGAAAGCAGTTGAAACATATTTAAATAAAGTTATTCCTGATGAAGAGGAATCAGATGATTATGCAGATGATTATCCACCAATCATACAAGAAATAGACGAATTCGAAGACCTGATAGCTAGAGAAAAAGGTGGACAAGGTATAACGTTTTTATCCGACAACAACGAAGAATTGCTTAATAGATTACGATTAATATTAGCGGCAATGAAAGAAGGACATCGATCGCACAGACAATTTAATGAAGTGAATTGTATATTAAAAAGACTCCTAGAGAAAGGTATCATAGATAAAAACGATTATAAAAGCGTGATTAAAAATGTCAAATAAAGAACAACTATTCGTCATCACCTCGAATAAATCAGACATTAAATCGTCTCCAGATTATGAGTACGAACTCGATCGCAATCAAGAATATGAATTGGGATTAAAGTATTTCTCTGTTTACAATTCCATTAGAAATATCAACGAAAAAAATAATCAAATAAAAATATCAACAGATAATGGAGCTACATTCAAAACCATACGTTTACTACCAGGAAGCTATGAATACATAGCCATTAACGAATACCTATCTGAATATGGAGGAAGTGCAAATGGTAAAAACAATATCGAATTCGAAGGTAATTTGAATCTAAACAAAATAAAATTGATATTAAGAAATAATAGTCAAGTTGATTTCAACGTAGAAAATTCATTGAATACTTTACTAGGCTTTGATAAAAAAATATACACCCAATCCACTTTAGCACCACACAAAGCTAATATCGAGAATGATATCGATGTGATAAATATACATTGCAATTTAATAAACGGTGGATTTTTCAATAAATACAAACGTCAGATTATTTACAGTCTTCCAACATTCACTGTTCCTATTGGATATAGAATTATAGAGAAACCATTTCAAACGACGTATTTACCACTTAATTCCTTTATGATTAAAGATATAAATCTGGAAATCAAAGATGGTAAAAATAGATTTATAGATTTTGGTAACGAGGAAATTGTTATTCAACTTCATTTAAAACAAAAAAATTAACACTCTTCATTCTCTTCTTGAATAGTTAGATAAACGAATTCATCAAATTCATAGTTTTCATCCAAACACATCTCATCTTTATTGTTGTAAGGATACATAATTCCTACACTGTTTGGTGCTTTTCTCTTAACGAGATTCAGATAACTTCTGAAAACTTTCTTTTGTGTTTCATTAGGAATAACTATTCCATCAGTAAAACTTTTTACCCAAGGTTTCTTAAATTCATTCGTTACGTCATGTCCACTAGCTAATTGAATGTAGTCTTCTACCTTAATCTTATAGTTAGAGTAACCCTTAAACGGTTTCTTTTCTTTTAAAACACCATCGGAAGTTAGAATGATATTGTATTTTACTTTTGGCGCTAAATATAAACCAAATATGATTCCACCATCACCGTAATCATTCTTCCCTTTGCTATATTCGTTTTCAGACACCAACCCAGCTTCATTTAATTTATCCCAATTACTAGACGAAATGTAAAAACTATCAGTATCTGTATAGTATATTTCCGGCTTATAAAATCCATCTATGACGTGAATGAAATTGTTTATTATTTTTTTTACTGTGAGATAATATAAATGCACCTAAATGAGTGGATGTTAATCTAGTAAAATCCTTTGGAGGAACAAACTCTTTTTCTTCTTCATTCATCTCAACTATATATTGACTATCATTTACTTTTTCATAGCTTTTGACGTGTGAATCGAAGTTGGCTTTAAAAGTCGCTTCACTCCATAGATGTCTCGATGTATTTATATCCTTCTGAATAGATTTACCGTATAAGGAATTACCTAATAATTTCATGCAATTACTAGCAACCATATCTCCTTCTTTTTTGTATTTATTCCTTAATTCCTTCAAAATTAAAATATAATCTCTGTATGGTGGAGTTTTAAAATTTCCTTCGTATACTATACAATCTAATATTCTAATAATTTTACCACCGGATTTCACTATTTCTTGAATATCAACTGATGTTAAAACGTCGTGACAGAAACCATTTCTGAACCTGATTTTAGTGCCAGTTTCCTTCTGACCTATTCTATTCGTAAAAGTTATTTTATCTTTAGCTGGTATGGGTTGAAAGAGCATTTTTTTGGGATATTCAAACCAAACTTTTAAAATAGCAGTTCTAGGTCTGAATTTTTGTTTATTGAACAGTTTTACAAATTCTTTTTCTTCTTCTGGTAGAAACGCTCTTGCACTTTCCGCTTTAGGATATTCACCTTCTGTCATGGCAGAAGCGTACAACCCATTAGCGTCAAATGCCATCAGTTTAGAATAGTCCAGTTCTTTGAGTTAAGCGTGAACTTCCGTTTTATCTTTTGGGTTAACACTGTATTCTTTGAATAAATCTATTATTCCTTCAGTGTCACTTTCATTGTATTCTTTTAATATGGTGCAGATCTCATTCATTTTATCCGTTTCAAATGATTTTCGATTTGCCGAAACTCTTCCTCCTTTAATACTTTGTCTGATAAAATATCTTATAAAAGGATGAGTATGCGAGTAAACTTTTTCTACGTTTTGTTTTTCCGTATGTTTCGGAACCATTCTAGTACTTTCATACCATTCTTCTTCAACCATTTCTTTATCGTAATGATATAAATAATACCAACCCTTTAAAGATAAAGAAGTAGCCGTTAGATTATTGGAAACGTTTTGGAAGACAGTTTTTTTCATGGCCTGATTGTATTTTATCAAACAAGCTCCGAGATATAGAGTATCTCTTTTAGCGTAAGGTTCCCATTCGTGTCTTAAAGATTCCCAATTATATTTAGTGTATTTTGCAATATTAACATCCTCGATCTTTCTCAAATTCATTGGTAGATTAGATGAATATCCCCATGCTGCCAAACTAGATGATTCGTGTTGATAGGAACATGTGAAATTAATATTTTGCAAATAATTAGATTTCGGGGAAGGGAGGGTTTGATTCTCCCAAATGTACAGGCCTAGGGTGGAGCAGACACTTTATTTAGAAATTAGGATTAAGGGTCTTGATATTGGGTTTTCTTCTGTTCTTATTCTGATCTGAAATTAGAAAAAGTAACTCGCCCCATGGGCGAGAAGTATAGTATCTGTTATGTACTGATTGTTTTTAGTTTACTATGAACAATATTATCATTTAAGTTCTTATTTTTTGAATATGCAACTATCATTTTCTGCTTATAGACATGGGGGAATTTCTCTTGAAGGCTCTTATAGTGGGCATGAACTATCTTGCTTGCTCGATTGCTGGTTGTATTAAACGGGACAACAAAGGGTGCTATGCCTACATTATGATGAATATTTAGTCCTTTAGGTCTTGCTGTATTTAATGTCTCAATCCAATGGGCCTCCCTAGATTGACGGAATTTGGTAGTTTCATCTTCGGGCAAGTCAATTTCTATACGCTCAATTGGGATTAGGGTGAGATCGTCTATTGAATGGTCGTCGAGGTTGAAATGATTAGAAACAGGCTTGTCTTTCTTTAATTTGATGTCTGACCTATGAGCATTAAAGCGAGTTCGTAAATTATTCTTAGTTTCTCCTACATATTGTTTGGGGCATTTCTTGCATGAAATTAAATATATTACATTCGAATGTTCACATGTTAGATGTTCCTGGATCGGGTACCTTTTATTCGTAGAGTTGCTTACAAAATACTGAGTTTCTGATATAAAGGGACATGTTTTGCATCTACTGGACAAACATGGAGCACTTCTTAAACCTGGAGGTACTTCGGCATAAAGTCTGTTTTTAGCTGCTATCTGTGCTAAGGTGGAATTTTTTTATGTTTCGTAAAAATCGTTTAGAGTACCCAGGCTCTTTCAGTTTTGAGAAAACAATCGTACAGGCTTGGTTGAAATCGGAAGATCTTGTACAAATTCGATGAAATCGTAAAACTTGTGACTTAATTATACCAGAAAAGGTATGTTTTGGGTGAAAGGAGCTCTTTTGCAAGAGTTGATGAGTATCAGTTTCTTTGAAATACACTTTAATATCCAGTTTATTTGTTTCTGCTATGGAATCTCCCTTAAAGACTGTGGTATCGAGAAAGTCTATGCTTTTGTCACTCACGTTTGCGGTTAGTTTGATAGAAGGATGGTGGTTGTTGAGAATTTCAAAGAATTCCCAAAACTGTTCGATAGAATAAGTCCAAACCATAAAGATGTCATCCAAAAAGCGTCCGTAAAAAAGTGGGTCAAATGGACAGAGGGGCAACACCTCACGTTCCCACTCTGCCATGAAAAGGTTTGCGTACGAAGGGGCAAATCGTTTGCCCATTGCTGTCCCTGAAGTTTGTAAATATGTTTTACCATTAAATGTGAAATCGTTTCGACTAAGACAAATCTCTAAAAGCTGTAGAATTGCATCGTCGGGTCTGTTTGGATCTGGGTTTCTATTAAAAGCTTTACGAACTGCCGTTAAACCAGTAGTGTTATCGATATTGGTATACATAGAAGAAGCGTCGATAGAAATTAAAATAGCATTAGAGGGAACTCGAAGATTTTTTATTTTATTGACAAAATCGGTTGTGTCTTTGAGGTAGGCGCGATGTTGACATGCTAGAGGTAGTAAGAAATGATCAATGTATTCTGACACTGCATATGACTCACTACCAAAGTCAGATATAATCGGGCGACCTTTAGGGATTTTATTCGAGATAAACCACTCCTTTGTTGGATTCTTATGGATTTTAGGCAAAGTATACAAATGTCTCTCGCGACAATCAGGTTTGGCAGACAGGTAGTCATATTGTTTCTGTTTTAGATAACTAGTTTTGACTAAATCGGCAAGAATATTGTTAATCATGTTAGCAGTTTCTTTGAAAATTGGTTTCGGTAAAATAGCATAATGTTTAGGATTATTCAGTTGATTCTCTGCTTCTGAAACATAATCCTCCCTATTCAGAATGACACAACATGAACCTTTGTCACTCTTTTTAATAACAATGCTATCGTCTTTCTTAAGTAAGTTTAACGCTTCACGTTCCACTCGTGTGAGATTAGGCTTTTCGTGTGTTATGGAAAGGTTCACTGTTTGGCTATTCATACTCGCAAATAATTTCAATATTTCAGGATGGATGGCGGCCTGAGGGGGTGTCCACGTGGATTTAGGAATAAACATTGTTCTAGCACCACGTGGGGGGTGGTTTCGAAAAAAATATGTGCAGCTAAGATTTCGTTGAAATCGTTCAATGGATGGTCGGAGATAATTCAAGTCAGCTATCTTTGGTGTGTGAATAAATTTAAGTCCACGGTCTAAGATTGAATGCTGAAGGGGTGTGAGAATTTTGCGGCTCAAGTTAACTACAGTTTGGCCTAGCGGTGGCCTCTCAGTATTTTTATCCCCAGTAATTAGTTTAAAGACTTACTCGATGCTTGAAGCTGGTGTATCCAAAACAAATAAATGCTGTTTGCTGTTTCTGGAGACCAATGAAGATTATCAACTGGTTCGAATTCTTCTTCGTAGGGTGGTAAGATTGTTGCGCTGTTGATACTGGACTCCATCATCATGTTGTTGAGAGTGCTGAGGTTCTGTTGTGCTTTCTTCGAGATTTTATTTGAAATGGGTATACATGTGAAGAGGATCTTGAAGTGTGGGAAGGTTTTGTTGGCTGTGGCGATTAATTTCTGGGCTTGGTTAAAGGAGGTCTTTGGTAGCTGATCACGGTTGTTGAGGCCTACATGAAGAATAATGGTAGTAGGTTTGGGATCATGGTCGTATGATTCCAGGATTGACTGTATGTGATGGATTTGGGCACCGGGGTAAGAATGTATTTCAGTGTCTGAACTGGTTTTGGTAATTCGAATTTCCCCATGCTGCCAAACTAGATGATTCGTGTTGATAGGAACATGTGAAATTAATATTTTGCAAATAATTAGAGTTACCCTTTATTTCTTTCTGTCTTTTCCATTTTTTCTGTAAATATTCATCGGTGAATGAATTAGTTAAAGGTAGAGACAGAATTCCTCTAGCTGTTTTTAAAGGGCATTGTGTTAGTTTTTTTACGTTTTTGATCATGATCCAGTTATCAAATCCACTGCCGTTATGGGAAATTAAGGTTAGTCCTTTCTCATCTACTTTTCCTAAACGTTGTAACATTTGATCTATACAATCTGTACCTACAAATATTTCTACTATATTAGTCATGAGTTTGTTGTAAAATTCTTCTGAAATGGGATCTGACGGCTTAAAATCTAGAGTCTCATTAAAATCACTTAAATCACGTAAGTAATTATTATAATCATCTAATCTTTTCCTCAGTTTTTCCAAATTGACTAAAGTACAACAATAAGGAATGGCTTTATTCGTTTCTTTTTCGCAATAGGTTTCGCAATCCCATGCGTATAAACAATAATCGGGAATGGTTGGAAAAACGTTTAGTTTTAGAAGTGAAACTTGCGTTACCGCATTATCATCTTCACAAGTTCTCCATACGTTTTCATCGTAATTATCTTCTATTTCTTTAATGCCCAAAGCTTTGTTATTTCTTCTTATCAAACAGAAATGTTCTTTGTGTAAATAAAAAACCCAATCTAATTCTTCGGTTACTTTCTTTGGTTGAAAATGTCTATGTTTGGGCATATATATTTGAAAATTAGTATTAAATTTCTTATTGAATTCGCAAATTCTAGCAGTTGTCATAACTCCTTTTCTGTTTGATTTTTGAAAACTGTTGATGAAATCTTGAAATTCTCTCGTGTAGTCTTCGTTTAAAACACGATTAACGCATTTTACAAAGCAACATCCATCGCTCGGTATATAACAATTTATACCGATATATTCTTTTATCTTTTTGAGTAGGCTAACACCACTACCCTTTTTTGATCTTTTTATTTCTTTGAAATTGTTTTTACGGAAAATGATTTTTCCTGTGAAATACCAATCGGAAGCATCTGATTTTTCTGAGGAAATTTACAAAAGTTTTGGTATTAAAACCTACAAATTTCATGTCTTGTTTGTATTTTCCATCTTGAGTTATCTCTCCAACTGTTTCAATTTGCCCTTTAAATGTTATAAATTCATTAGAGATAAGGTGAATAACATCGGGAAAAAGTTCATTTGATATGAATTTATTCATATTTTTTAATTCATCAGAGATAATCTTGTCAATAATCTCGTCTAAAATTTTCACTGGTATGAATTTTTTATCGTCTACAATTTCATTTTTATTCATATTTTTAAAGCAACTATTTTTAACTAGGAATTTTTATTGTTTCGAAAAAAAAAAAAAATTATAATGAGCTTTGATCACCACTAGGGTTTTTATGGAAAATCATTTTTCCTGTGAAATAGGAATGAGTAATATCCGATTTTTTATCCAGCGCAAGGAAGAAATCGACAAAAGTCATGATATCAGGACCTACAAATTTTATGTCTTGTAGGTATTTTCCATGTTAGGCTATCTTTCCATCTAATTCAATTTGTCCGCTAAATGATATAAATTCGTTAGACATATGCTCCATAACATAAGAGATCATGTGATATCAATTTATTCATATTATCAATTTTATTCATATTTTTAAAGCAACTATTTTTAAAGCAACTATTTTTAACTAGGAATTTTAACTTTTATTGATGATATTTCTACATCAAATTTATCTAAAATTTCATTGAATTCTTCTAATTCTTCAATGGTTATGTTCTTATCTTCTCTCGATCTTTCGAAAAAAATGAATAATTTATTAAGATATGTATTTAAAATTTTTGTTTTCCTTTTATAATAAGCTTTTTGTTTTGATGTAAAACCTAAAGTAATCAAACCACAAGATGAAGTTTGAACGGCAGTGAACGAGGCTAATACAGTTGGGACGATTATTGGAAGCATTAATCCACCGGTTACGGCTGTTGCCACCGTTATCCCTATTGTTAAAACTGTACTTAATGTTTTGAAAACAGAATCGATTTTACTCCATGTTTTTCTACATTTGTTGAATTGTTTTAGTTTTTCTTTTAGTTCATTTTGTTTTTCTATCATGTAGTTTTGTCTACTTTCGAGTTCCATTTTTAGGTAATTAAATTAAGTGAATTTCTGATAAAGCTGCTTTACTAAAAACATTTACAGTTACTAATGATATTTGTTCTTTCGAATCATTAATCTTATTCAGATGAACTGAAAATTTTGGTTTTTCAATAGAGACAAATATTTTAGCAAATACATCATCTCTTATTATAAATTCTTTATTTTGTTGACTTTTATGAATATCAATTGAGGTAAATTTACCATTATCAACAAAATATAGTTTTACGTATTCAAAGTCTGTTGCTCGTAAAAACTGATAACTGAATACTTCTTTTTTTGGTTCTGGATTTCTAATAATATTCATTGATGGTGGAGTTTCCGTTTCCAATAACATATCAAAATCACTCAATGTAAATTCATCTTCTTCATTATCTGGTATTATTAACATTCTAAACCTATCTATATATTTTCCATTCGTTTTAATTTCATGTAAGTGACTAAGCTTGTTGTTTTCATCGTTAATTTCTAATTCTTTAGTTTCTACATTTTTTGTACCATTGATAAACTGAAGAACTTTTTTAGCGTTAAATTTTTTATTAGTTAAAAGATAGCCTTGTCTGAAGAATAATGAATCAACTTTTACCTGTATAGGAAATGTTATTTCAATTGTAAGTTTTCCTCGAAATTTAAAAATATATGGATAATTAACATCAAAATTTTTTTTGGGAAGAATAGGATAATTTGGCGCAGAATATAGTCTAATATTTGCTGTAAATCCATATGTTTTATATTCATAATCTTTTGATTTATCAATATTATCAGTAATAGAACCACTATCAAAACCCAAAAATCTAAATGGAATATTAAAATAATATGATTCTTTCTTGAGAAACTTTTTTTCTAATGCGAGTATATTTTTGTCCTGTTTTAAAACTAGGTTATTAATAGTGGTTATCTGTTGTTGAATAACACTATCATCTATGTTTTGTTGAATATTTGTTAGTTCTTTTTGTAATTCAGTTTTAAATTTAGTTAATTCCCGTTGCAATTTGTCTTCACTTATACCTGGATTAATATTATCTATTAGTTGTTTAAGATCTTTTTTTTTGCTTTTTAATCTTATCATCTAAATTAGATATTAATGAACTTAAAGTTTGTAACTGAGTTTTATCTACTACATTGACTAATTCTTTTTGAATAAAACTTTTCAAACTTGTTACTTCTTGTTGTAATTTAGTATCATCAATAAAATCTTTATTATTCATTTGTCGTTTGAAGAATCTTTTCACATCATTTATTCTTTCTTTTAAATGTTCTTTATTTACTTCAATTAAATTTAATTGTTCCATTAAATATTTCTTGTGAATGGCATCATTATCGTTTTCCGGAGACTTTAAATTAGTTATGCTAAAATTGTTCATATCTAAATCACCTTGAAGAATGTCTCCGATTTGATCCAGGAAGTAAGGTTTCGCTTTATTTATCCACGCTGAAGTGTTAGGTTTTTTAGTTTCTAAAGATAAAGAACCTAATCCAAACTTATTCGCCATTTTTATTGAGTTAAATTTATTACAATTTCTTCGAATTGTTTTCCTAAACTCAACTGATATAAAACCCAAAGTGAAAGCTGACCACAAAACTTTTGTCCCGGTAATTGAATTTGAAATGTTGAACATTTGATTGGTTTATTAGTCAATTGGATTATCTCTTCAGTGGGTTCTAATCCATAAGAATCGAAGAAATAAAAGTCAGAGTCTTTGTACAAAGCAGAATGATGAACTCCTTTTGATCGGAAGTATGTATATTTGTTATAGCGTAAAATTTACCTTTCTTATATTTGAGATCATTTATTTCATCTCTCATACAATAATAAAACGGTGATATATTTAACTCATTCGCCCATCTCATAAGTTGAAAGTTTGTGGTTGTATCGGTTCCATATTTATCGAGAAATTCATTCATTTTTAAAAGTCGGTTTTTTTTTAAAAAAATTGTATTACATTCTGATAAAACACATTCAATAATATTTTGAACATAAATTTGCATTTAAATTTAAAAAATTTAAAGCGTAAATGCTTGTCTACATCTCTTGATCTTCTATCAAATTCTTCATCATTCATTTTTAAAAGTCGGTTTTTTGAAGTTCGTTTTGATAAAACCTGCCTATGATTTGTTCTTTGTCTTGATCGATTAATTCATATGTCGGAGGTGATGTGGTGTTTACTTTATCAACGATGAATATTTCGTTCTTCCAGTATCCAACGTAACCTTTTTCGAATTTGCTTTTATATTTGAAAATACGAACTCGATCTCCGACTTTAAATTCTTTATTTCATTTTCGTAGTTATGTTGCGCGTTAATTGACTTTATAATATTTGGATTACTCGAGGCTTGTGTTGGTGTGACACCTATAGATGAATGAATTTTGTTATTGTATTCATCTACAACCTCTGGTAATATTTTAAGCCATTTTTGAGATTTCAATTCCGTGAACTTTTTGAATAATTTATTTTTTAGAGTCCTGTTAAATCTTTCAATAACTACAGCTTTACCTTCGTTATGCGTACTGTAAATTTCAAATCCCAGAGATTTCATATTTTTGTTATAAAATTCACTTCCTTTATCTACCTACAGTTTTTCTGGATGACGGTTAGATTGTTTCATAATCGTTTCAAATGAGTGTTTGACTGATAAACCCGTTTTGTTTTTGAGAGGAATAACCCATACATATCTCGTATATAAATCTATAACTGTTAAACAATATTTAAATCCTCTTTCGACTGGCATATGAATTAAATCGGCTGACCATATTTCATCTTTTTCAAACACTTTGACTTTTAAAAAAGTTTTATTTTTTACTAAATTCTTTATGAATTTCATCCGCCAATCCCATACCTAATTTCATCTTTGCTTTTAACAGTTTAACGATTAATGCTCTTTCCATTCTCTCTTTGAAAGTTGGATTTGGAATATTTTCAAGTTCTATTATCATTTGTTTGTCTGCTTCGTGTCTAAACTGTATGTCTTTGTTTCTGTATAAAATATCGTGTTTAAGCGCAGCGGCGTCAACTCTATTGACTGGTTCTTCGCCTGGTTTGGGTTTATCGTTTTCGTCTAATCGCAGATCTAACCTAGTACCTGGACCGGTGTAATTATGACCGGGAAGATGTTTTTCTCCGGGATATTTCGCCCATGGAAATCCAGGAAGAGAACCCAATGATTTTTGTATATCTCCTGAACCGAAATAAGTTTTTGGAGCGTGAACGACAATCATTTTTATCCTATAACTTTAAAACCTTTTCCTTTCCTTTCTTCTAATCTCCTGTTTCGAAGTTCTCTTATTAGCTCTAATTCTTTCAAGTCGTTAGATTGTTTCACTGTATCGCTTATACTCTTTCCCACTTCAGCGATTGAGCCGATGGCTTTCGCTCCGCTTGAAATGAGTGATTTGTTTTTTGCAACAAAGCTAGCTACTTTTGGAATTATTGTTTTACCTAGAGAAAATAATGAAGAAAAGATACCGTCGCCCGAATAATCTTCGAATCTGTGTTGTTCGTGTTTTAGAATTAAACTCATCCTATTTCTAAATGAGTTAATTTAGTCTGTTTTTTATCCAAAAAGAGTTATCTCCCATCTACTTGTTATGTTATGTTATTTTATATAAGGGTATTTTTGATTTGCTTTTTTTGATGGAATGTAGGAAATTGATTGAAGGTGTTTTTGGTGTATGAAATGTAGGGCTGTAAGAATTTATGAAATGTAAGGAATTTAGGTGTAAGAATTTATGAAATGTAGGGAATTTTGCTGTAAGAATTTATGAAATGTAGGATGTTTAGGTCTTTATGTTATGGGAGCTTTCAATTAGGGGCGCATTTTCCCCATGAAATGAAATGGAATGGGGAATCCCCTTTTATGCGACCTAATTGAAAGCTCATATACTACTAATAATGAGTAATTTAACCCGGATGTGCCACTCCCACTTCATTTCTTTGGCATAAGTTAATTGATATTCTCAATGTTATGTTGTGTTCCAAATTTAAAGATTCTACATCATACAGGTCAAAAGATATAGGTCAACAAATGTCAATAAAGGTCAAAATCGAAAATTGAAAATATGGAAATTTCAAAACCCGTTCCTTTTTTAGAACTATAAAGCTGACCTATTAACACAAACTGGCCGAAATAATGGGGTAATTGTGTGCATTTGTTCCTTTTTGAACAAATGTATCCTATGCAAGTTATTCCCCTTCCCCAAAATGTAAACAATTAGTAATTCAACCCGGTTGTGCCACGCCTACCTCAACTTTTTTGTCATAGGTTAATTCAAATTCAAATTCAAATTGTCTTGTTGTGTGTCAAATTTCAATGTTCTACATCAAATAGGTCATACGATATACATACACCAAGCTCAAACAGACAGAAATATTGTAAAAAAAACACTCAAATTAGAAAAAATCGCGAATTTTCTTTAAAAAAAAACGATCATTATATATCACTGGAAAGAGCATGAAAAGCACATTAAGAATCCGAAAAAATTAACCCTCAAGGTTACTTAGGTCACGTGCTAGAGCAGTTCGAAGTTGTTTTCGGGCAGCTATTTAACTGGAAGTACATGTCGGAGGCCAAATGTCAAAGTATTAACTAATAGCTAAGGTCAATGACCCTTGACGTTATAAAAGTCAAGGTCATCAAAGGTCAAGATCACGAGATATGACCCTTCAAACTTTCAACCGGAAGTAGCAAAAAAGCAAAATCGAGAATCGAAAAACGGCTTCCTTATGTCATGGTTTTTTATTATCTTCTTTCATTTGACACCAAAATCATTTAAATCGGATGAGTCGTTATGTCTGAATAAAAATCGAATCATTTCAGGAAAATCAAAATTTGACTGTACCATTTTGTTTACTTTATTAAACTGTCTTTGCTCAATTTTTTTCAGTTTAATCAGACAAAAAGCAAAAAAATTGAAAAAAATGTAAAATTTGTCGCAGAATTTTGAAATTTTTTAAGTGCTATTCTTTCAGATTTTGCCAGTAGATTTCAAAAATGCAAACCCAAAGAAAATCGACCGAAAATACGACTTCTAGAGCCGATTATCTATTCTTGCACATATTGAACTGTGGCACTTCCGGATTTGCAAAAAAGATCAAAAATATATTAATGCACATCGTCGCCTATATCTAAGGTTCGTGAATGTTGAATGGTTGCTGCATCTATGTATTCTAAGCTCAGGAAGGTGTGTAAAAATCGAAAAAAAAAAAAATTGACATTTCGATAACAAACTCGGACCTTGTAGTAGCAAACAATGACTAATCTATGTAAAATTTAAAACAAAGACCTGCTTGTTTTAAAAAACCACAACCTTATCATACAGAGAAGGTTGTGCAAATAAATGAAGTAATAAAGGTTTGAGATGCTTGCACTCAATCAGAATGTGTTTCACTGTCAGGCAGACCTGGCAGTGCTCACAGACTGGTTGAGGTTCTCGCTTGAGCAGATAACAGTTGGTGAGTATGTCCAAGACGAGAGCGACACAAAACAACTTCATTTCTCCTGTTGGTCTTCTGCCTCATCTAGATCATCTTGAGAAAAAGAAGAAATGCAAAGAGCCTCAAAGAGAGGCCAATTAGCTTTGGAGAGTTTCCATCTTTGTGGCCTGTCTTCTGGTGAAGGACCATTATTCCGTAGAATTACAGGATAATGATCACTGTGGCAGAGATCGTCGTGGACACTCCAAGAAAAATCTTGGAACAAAGGTGGAGAGCTAATTGTCAGATCTAGATGAGAAAAAGTTTGGTTTTTTGAGCAGAAATACGTAGGCGATTCGTCATTAAAGATGCAAAGATCATTGTCATAAATGAAGTCAGCTATTAATTTTCCTCTGGTATTATCATCGGAGCTACCCCAGAAAGAATGGTGACCATTGAAATCTCCTAACAAAATGTAAGGAGAAGGAAGCTGGGCAACAAGGTCATCCAATTCTCTCAGGTTCAATGATAAGCTATGTGGTAGGTAGATGGA